AAACGCAAGTATACTCATTGATTTATGTGTTCAGTATGAATGAAGTATATATGAGTTTAGAAGGTTTGTAGATGGGTTTGGGTAGGGTATGGGTATTGTTAATTTTCACAATCTGAATGAGTTTGAGTTGGATATGGATACCCATTTATTTGAGGGTGTTTCAACTACACATACAAAAGCTGGACCTATTTGTAATATTTAAAAAGTTTAGGTATCAAAATGTAATGCACAAAAAAATAGATACTAAAATATAATTTTTCATTGATATATTGAAGACTTATATACAAAAAAATTAATTTTAGGTACTAAATCTAAAATCTATAAAGTTTAGGTGTCAAACTGTAATTTGCAGATGGATATTGGTAGAAATCCAAATTCATGAATTAAAAACCTAACCCAGAAATCTGAATGCGAGGATAGCTACCGATAATACCAGTACCAACTACCATCAAGCTATAAAGATAGAGTTCAACCTAGCTCCGCCACAGACACTAGCTATGACCTAAATCGAAAAGGGAAATTAAGCAGATATGTGCTAATAATAATGGAGATCATAATGGATTATTATACAAGTAATAGTGTACGTACATAAATCCCCAGTTTAAGTTTATTGATTGCAATCTTGATATTGATGTATACAGCCAAATATATATGCATGCATGCATGCACGTCTAAGTTGATCATGATGATCACTAGCTACCTAAACTAGGGTTTCCAAAACCCTAGCTAGCGTATGTGTGTACGTATGACTTAATTTCATCTACGTATATAATGATAAAATAGCAGATATGACGAGCTAGGGTTTCTGTGTGCCTGCATTATATCTAAGCTGCGGGAGCATAGCCGCCTGTATCATCGCCATCATCGTCGTCATCGTCGTCGTCTCCTTCTCTCCATCCTCTGATCATCACAACAAGGTAGCAGCTTCCGCCTACAACATCATCCGCAATATTCTTCTTCCAGCCTGCTGCAGCAGCAGCTTGCAAACCCTAGCAGCTCCCGGCCCGTGGAGAGGTGAGTGAAGCTGTGTGTTCGCCACGTGCCGTTACTACACCCGCCCTACGCTTCGACGTCCCTCGTGGCATCCCACGTCACCTAGCGAGTTCCTACCTGGAGAGAAAACTCTTTCATATGTATACCGTCCCTGGTACCAGAGCTGGTTTGATCAAGTGGTCATGTGTACGAATCTCCACGACCCCCCAATATTAACCGTTGATTAAAGCACAAGGTACGGTGGGCATGTGCAAACTTCAAGCTCGTGAGTTGGCTTTCGTTTGAAGGGGCCGGCGTGTGAGAATGTGGTATAAGATCCATAAAAAACCTTTCGCAACAACTCGAGTTATTGGGACCAACGGGTTTATATGACATACTGATCTGCAGTCCCACGTGGCTTCCGTTTTAGTGACTCGTCATGTAAGATCTGCATACAGTACGCGGTACTAGTTTAGTTGAGGGGGGAAAAACACAACTCTACTTGGCTAATGTCAACTAATATAATAATGTTGATGTGACTTGAATCGGACTTGCGGCCGCTACGACTGTAACGGTTTCCTTTACCGGATTGGATTAGGTTTAGACCTACATGGGAAAGTAGTATAAATACTTCTCATCTCCTCTGTAATATGTAATCTTCTCAATAGCTCAATATCGATTAAGTACCCACAAAATCAAAACTGAATCATGCGATTGCGATTAAGCAGCAGGTGTCGTCATCATCATCGTCTCCGTCGTCTGGTTCATTGTTACCACGGCACGTCCCAGCAGCAGGCCCTTCATAATAATGGGAGCGGCAACGGAGTTCATCGTGTCCTCCGTTCGCCTGTAGTACCATGGCAATGTTCAGCAGCGCAGTAGCCTCAGAGGAAGACATATTGGTGAAGAAAGAGAGCAGAAACGCGATATGGGTAATGCTTTTGTGTCGGATTTGTAAGCTATGTGCTGGTGAGTTGTGGGAATGAAAAGGGTCGGGTGGGCGGGAATATATAGAGAGGGAGAGAGAGAGGCAGGGGTGTAAAAAAAAAGTGGGAACTCGTTGGGGACATAGGTCGAACACGTGGTGTGCGTGGAGAAAGTGAGGCGATGGCAGGAGGCGGGCGAGAGCTTAACCTAGTGCTGGAGAGAGCCAGATAGGGTGGGAGAGTCCGTGATTCTCGGGCCAGCTCAGCTTCCCAATAGACACTTCACCCTGACACGTCAGCCGGTTGCCGACCTGTAATCGCATTTGCTGCGAGAGAGAGAGAGAGAGAGAGAGAGAGAGAGCATCTTGATGTTCTCCTTGCTTTGGGCCTCTTGCTTTTGGTGAGTTGATGGTTGGGACTTGGGACATAGTTAGTAAAATATGAAACGAGAAAGTTACGTATAAAATACGTACGAATATTTTTCTTCGTCTTTAAGCTAATGTTACGTTTAATAGTACCTTAATAGTCATAAATATATAAAAATAAATTATTTTTAAAAAAATAAATTAAAAAATAAATAATAGTAAAGTAAATAATTTAATTCATTAAATACGGATATTAAACGTGTTATGCGGGTTTTATACGTGTTTAGTACGGGATTCATTAAATGAAGGGGGGAAAATGAAACGTCTTGACAATAATACGGATACGGAAGTTTTAAACGGATAAAGTACATACGGGTACATTAAACGGAGTATTTACTAACTATACTTCGGAGAGCTCAAGGGTTTGGATGCATTTTTTAAAAAAAAAAATGCTATCAAAGGTGTCTGGGGTGAAGGGAAGTCCACCCTGAAATCCCGAAACCTACAATCTCCGTACTGAAAAACTAGTAGTATATAACCACTAGATCAAATTCTCTTTATCCATCTAATAACCTGAAGTCCTCCACTAGATCACGTCCGATTTCATGCAGACGTTTGAGACAGTTTGCAAACTCTGCCGCGGTCAACAACATCTGCGTGCAACAACATATAAAGAGATCAAGTCAGAATTATGAAGAACATAAACAACACAATTATATGTATCTCACACTAACGTTGATTCACCTCGTACGTAACTTGACTGGTAGTAGTTCCGATACAAATAAAAAAAAAAAAAACAGCCTTGAACAATTCGTAACGTAAGAGATAAAGGTACATATTTATAGACAAAGAGAGTCGCAAAAATCCTTTTTCCTTTCTCTATTACAGCCCGCCTGCCACCATGCATCTCCCATTCCTAGCCGAACAAGGTTACTTTCTCGCCAAACAATGATTACTTGGATTAGATCCTAAACAGGAATAACCAGTCCTCCTAATTAGTAGTCAAGGAGACTTGATCCCGAAACAGAAATTTATTAGAGATAAAGAAATACTAATTAATTAGTTAGAATGTATACGTTTGATTCAACTAGTTGGGAGGCCAACTAGGTTTACGTCGTATGAAGGGGGAAAAAACACGTTAATAATTAAATATAACGTCATTAATAAAAAAAATATATGTGTAAAATTTGAAATTTGAATGTTGGGAACCAAATTCGAAAACTAGACTGATCATCGCTTCTAAAGCACACTTAGTATCACTATTTTTTTTTCCGGTGTGGCGTGAAAGTAAAGACTTGCTAACCTCGATTATTTGATGTCTCTTGGATGGCTTTATAATTTGGCGACTTGCAAAAAAATCCACAAAACAATTAAGGGTAACTTGCTTTATGAATAAAACATATAAAAAATTGCTTCATGAATTCAAGAGAAGGTAGAAAGGTTTTATCATTTGCTTATTGATTATAAATTTTGCTTCATTTGATCTTTTGCTATAGTGGGTTTTTCACCCTCAACCATATCTCACAAACTATTGGATTTGTGAGTCCATGTGCAACGAATTTTTATCCTTGAAGTCTATGGAACCCGCATATTTTACTCACCCTACAATTGGTTAACAAACAATGAATTTTGAAACAAACTCATTATGTGCCTGATTAGGGACATAAATCCTTCTTCAAATCCATAACGACCCAAAATTTTAATTTGTATAAATTCATTATCGGGTAGAAATAACACTGTCCAAATTCAGTTGAGGATAAAAAAAGTAGTAGTAACCATCAACTACTTCCACAACATGCGTCAGATCCGATTGTCAGAGGTTGATGATTGCGTTGAGACGGGATCCGAGCATGTGGCCATGGCAATGCCGGACAACTCTTGCCCGGGTTGTTTCCATTCTTTGCCTCTTCCCTTGGATCTCGGTTGAGTTTGTTCCCCGTCGATTCAATGCCTTGGCTGATTGGATTGCGAGGAACTCTCGTCTCGATCTCCTTCCTTCGGAATGGATTGGCATTGCCGATCTTGTCGCTCCATTATTGTAATTGTGTTGCTTCTCACTTGTGTGGGCTTGGAATGAAATGATGATTGCTTTGTAAAAAAAAAAAAAAAAAATACTTCCACAACAACAACAACAACAAAAGCACATGAGCTTTCTAACCCTAATTCTGTGTTTTGTTTTCTTGCCTGCAACATGTGGGGTTGTCTTTGTCCCCTCCCCATGCATGTGCTCCTTGGCTGGAAGTACAGTTTCAGGATGGCTCTTATAGGACCATAGGCATACATCAAAGGGAAGTACATAGGCAAGGGAAAGAAGCAAAAGGGTAGTACAAAATTGTTACTTGGGAAATTGATAGTAGATAAATATTTTTGATTCAACAATAGGTTGGAAGCTACGATTGTTAAATAGATATATCTAGGCAAATGCATGTATTTTGTAGTATACATTGTTCGGTACGTGAGATTGTATATACATGTCACATCAGCTGAAACTTAGATATAACAATTACTCATTGTGATTGATCATAGTTTCTGTCTCACCACATAAAATCATTCTATGTATTGTGTTATGCATAAATTTTAGAAATAAAATTATGTATTCCGAACAAGACAAATATAGTAACAATTTCAAACAATCAATCACAATTTTCAGACGACTTGTGGGATCGGCCGGATGTCCTTGTAGATGGGGAAGATGCATAATAATTAAATGGCATCAATGGTTAGGTTGTGTAGGACGATAGACATCATGGTACACAAGGAAGTACAAACGTGGGAAGGTGCAAAAACGGTAGTACAGTCTTGTGACTTTTGTGAAGTAGTTGCTTGGTACTCTTGCTCAAATCTTTGTGTCTCCTACTCTCCTATATATGAAGCATGACATATAGTTGAAACACATAACATACGTTGGTGTTGGTTTATAAACCAGAAGAGGTGAATTCGGAGGGGACTTTGGCGCCTAGGATCGGTGTAGTCTATGTCTGAGGCGGTCACGACGACGATGATTCATCGTCGTGCTTAGGCACCAAAGTCACCACCATATTCAGTACTACTCTTTTTTCAGGATTTTTTTTTCCCCGCTCTTACAGTGGGTCGTCAGCAGGTAACATCCTCGGATCCCTCTGCTACTTCAAACCATGTACCACTTTTCTCGAATAGAAAGCCGAGCATCCCAGCTGTCAGAACATCGGTCGATATAGTAGCCAAATTTCGTTCCCACGGTGAGTATTAGAATTGTGTTTTACTCGATACATGTGAATAAGGTTTCTCTTTTGCTTTGATTCTTGCCACAGAATTTCGATCATGAGACCTCTGCTTCTTGAACGGGGAAACTATTCCGTTTTGAGTAAGCATCGACATGTTTCCTCTTGCCTGTACATATGGTTGACAAAATCCATTAAAGAGCTTACCTAATCTGATCTTCGAGATCACATAAGATATGGGATGAAGAAATTATTAATAAAGGAAAAGGGCATCTGATCCGCTGTCCATGTGATGATGCAACTTGAAGAGTGGGATTCATAATTATGACTAGATTTGAATGAATTCAAATGGAGATCTTTCAGTTTTCACTTTCAGAAGAACAGTGAGCAAACCGGGGAAAATTCAACTCCGTGTTTTGGTTTGGGCAATCCAACGTCTCCCGTCCGATCCACCAACCGTCCCGTCCATCTCGCCGGCGGCCGGTCAAACAACAAACCAAATAAACAATAAACAACAAAACGAAACAAGAAAACAGGGTACCAGTTGGCGCCGCGCAATTCCCCCCACTCCCTCTCGCCACAGGGGAGAAAAAACGCGTATTCTCCTCCTTCGCCACAGCCCGTATTCTACTCCTCTCAATCATCGCCACCCGCCGCCATTATCTCTAGTTTCTCTGCTCTATAAATTGGATTGAGAATCGTAGCCGGCGCCTATCCTCTCCTTACCCATTTCCCCATCCCCTGTTTCTATCTTTAACCCTTTTTTGAGTTTTTTTTCCCCTCTCACTCTGTTTTTCTCGTCCGCGAAATTTTTTTGACTTTGGAAGTAGCTTGCGCTGTATTCCACTATATATTTAATCGTTGTCAATCCATTTTGGGATCCGTCTCTTGGTGGGTCTCTCTCTCTCCTGGGAGGAGAATCGGGCGATCTCTGAGCTCCAGTTCCCAGCTGGTCAAGGTGCGTAGCTTTTTCAATCTTATCTCTTTTACTTTGACATTTCTTGTCCATTTTTCTCTTGGGTTTCTTGAATCTGTGAAGAGATTTGGTTTCTGGGTTTCGGTCTGTTGTTAGGAAAGTTTAGGGCTTTGTCGTGATTCTGGCCTTAGATTTGAATCTGCGATGGGTTAGACAGATTTAGGGATTTGTTTGAACCAATAGGGTAGATAGAAGCTGAATTTGTCGATTGATTTAGGGGTTGCTCTTAATGTTGACAGGGGAGGGGGAAAAGATGGCAGAGACTCAACCAAACAAACCCTTGATCCAGCCATCATCGACTCGAAAGCTCCCAGATTTCAAGAAATCGGTGAAGCTGAAATACGTGAAGCTCGGTTACCACTACCTCATCACTCATGGCATGTACCTCTGCCTTTCGCCACTAGTAGTCATTCTCACAGCTCAGCTCTCGACTTTCTCCTTCGAAGATCTCCACGACTTGTGGGAACATCTCCAGTACAATCTCATCTCCGTGATTGTGTGCTCAACCCTGATGGTCTTCCTCTTCACGCTCTACTTCATGACACGCCCTCGACCAGTCTACCTCGTCAACTTCTCGTGTTACAAGCCGGATGAATCGCGCCAATGCACCAAGAAGATCTTCATGGATCGATCTCGTTTGGCCGGATCGTTCACCGAGGAGAGCCTCGAGTTCCAGAAGAAGATCCTGGAACGATCTGGGTTAGGAGACAACACTTATCTCCCAGATGCTGTCCTGACAGTCCCTCCAAATCCGTCCATGCAGGAAGCGAGGAAAGAAGCCGAGGCGGTGATGTATGGAGCTATTGATGAGCTTCTCGCGAAGACTTCGGTTAATCCGAAAGATATCGGGGTTTTGATCGTGAATTGCAGCTTGTTTAACCCTACACCGTCGCTATCAGCAATGGTGATCAACCATTACAAGCTTCGTGGTAACATTGTGAGCTACAATCTTGGTGGGATGGGATGCAGTGCTGGTCTGATCTCCATAGCTCTTGCTCAAGATCTTCTCCAGGTCCATCCCAATTCCTATGCTTTGGTCATAAGCATGGAGAACATCACCTTGAATTGGTACTTTGGGAATGATAGATCGAAGCTTGTTTCGAACTGCTTGTTTAGAATGGGAGGTGCTGCGATTTTGCTCTCCAACAAGAGATCCGATAAGAGGAGGTCCAAGTATGAGTTAGTTCATACAGTTCGCACTCATAAAGGTTCTGATGATAAATGCTTCTCGTGTGTCACTCAAGAAGAGGATGCTAACGGGAAAGTCGGTGTAACTCTGTCCAAAGATCTTATGGCAGTGGCAGGGGATGCATTGAAGACTAATATTACTACTTTGGGACCTCTCGTGCTTCCAATGTCGGAACAGCTTCTGTTCTTTGGTACATTGGTAGGGAAGAAGGTTCTGAAGATGAAGATTAAGCCATACATTCCTGATTTCAAGCTGGCATTCGAGCATTTCTGCATCCATGCTGGTGGGAGAGCGGTGCTGGACGAGTTGGAGAAGAACTTGCACTTATCCGATTGGCACATGGAGCCATCGAGAATGACTCTGTACCGCTTCGGTAACACCTCGAGCAGCTCGCTGTGGTATGAGCTGGCTTATTCAGAATCTAAAGGAAGGATTCGGAAGGGAGACAGGACATGGCAGATCGCATTTGGTTCGGGTTTCAAGTGCAACAGTGCTGTGTGGAAGGCTTTGAGGACTATTAACCCTGCAAAGGAGAAGAACCCATGGATGGATGAGATCGATAACTTCCCGGTCGATGTTCCTAAGGTGTCAACAATTGGTTAGGGATTTAGGATCCAGACTAATGTGATTTAACATTCTTGGAGGGGAGATGAGGAGGTTGAGTTGAGCGACTGTATTGATTTTAAGGGGCGTTATTCGTTTGGCACATTCAGGCTTAAGACTGGCTAACTACATGGCCATGAGTAGCTGAGTCTAGAGTCCTGATTGACATGTTGGTCTTTTTTGAGGATCTGTAACTTGGCTTCATTTGTTGGGATTCCCACTTGGCTTCTACTTTGGTTTCAACTTGAATCAATGATGATCTTTGTTTTCTCAAAATCATGCTCTGCTAATTAGTAGCTAATTCAAGTTTCAATGCCTGCTCAAAGCACTCTTAATGGATTGGATTCGATTTGTCTGAATCGTTACCCATTCAGAAAACAGAAACAGAACAGTGGCTTCACCACTGGACCAATAAATGAACATACCTCGTATTGTCGTACATTCTAATGGTAATAGCAGCAACAATTGGAACCTCGAAGAATTAAATCATCATCTCACTAAGCAAATGAGAAACGGGGCAAACTGAATTAGCTTAAAAGTAACAATGATCCAGCAGCAACCAAATCAACCTAACAAGATACAGAAGTCTGACATTTTCCATGACTAACTCTCTAAACATCAGAAGACAATCTCAGGTGTGTTAGCAAGCAGGAAACCTGCTGCTTCTACAGAAGTTCTCTATTCTTTGGACGATTTGTTGATGAGGGACTTGTGGATGTGAGGAATGACTCCACCGCCAGCAATGGTGCCCTTGATTAGGGTATCGAGCTCTTCATCACCACGGATTGCTAGCTGCAAGTGCCTTGGAGTTATACGTTTCACCTTCAGATCTTTGCTTGCGTTCCCAGCCAATTCCAGTACTTCTGCAGTCAGATACTCGAGAATAGCAGCGGAATAGACAGCAGCTGTAGCTCCAACCCTCCCGTGAGCTGTTGTCCTTAGTTTCAGGAGGCGATGGATGCGACCCACTGGAAACTGCAAGTTATCCAACAAGGCAAAATTGAGAACCATTGAAGCCCAATTTCTCACATTTCAATCAATTAAGGCAAGTAATAGACACAGGACACATAACAGACAAAAAAACTATCCTGAAAAACATGCAGTGGCAAGTGAACAATGAGGGCGCTATAAAACGAAATGAGTCGCAAAGCCTACGATTTAACAGAACAAGCACCGGAAAACTGCCTCGGGTTACTTTAAGAAATTCGACCTAAATAGACTCACACAACACGGCTAGTTCACACTTTCTCAGTGTTCCCCCGCGTATGGCATTCGCATATCAAGGTCATTCGGGGAAAAAGTCGATTCAAAATCTCAAGGATATAAGCAACACCTACAGTAAGTTGAAAGAATCCAATCACTTAAAAGAACACCCAACTGCCACATTGTAGAAAAAAAATCATCATACTTTAAACAAAAATTGCAACTGTGCACGCAGTAGTAGTTTACATTCCACATACTCAACAAATGAACAAAGCCGCTAGAAGGAGATTTTAACCGACTCTGCAGCTTGGGAAATTCTGTACATCAAACTAACATGCTAACCTACTATGTTTCCTGATCATATGGGAAAGGAAATGATAAAGAGTAATAAGCACAGCATTATTCAAACTCGAAAAGTTCTCCTAGCAATACAGACTCATTCTATCAAAATATCAATGTTTCTGCTTATGACAGCCCCATGAAATGGTGAGCAGTTATAACAGTGATCGAGTTGCGTTGTTTTCAGCTAATTTTAGAAGGCTGATGACCTCATTGTCTAGGCTTGCCAGATATATGAGGCCATAATAGTTCATTAGACTAAATTAACTGGTCTGGAAAAATCATTCAGGGCAACTTGGGATGTGAAATTCTAAGAGGCCACATTACTCGATCTGCAAACTTCGTATCATCATATTGGCTACGAGAACCCTTCACTAACCTATCAAGCATCTACAGCGAACACCGAACCAAATGAGTTTGGTCACAGCATCAGCACTTGGAACCAATTCTTCTCTAAACTAAGGCAGCCTAGTTAACAAATGAATCAAACTCCGCTGGACCGGGAAAACCGGAAAAGGTTTTTGAGAACTTGTGCAACTATCACCAGAAGCACCAAATGGCAACCAAAAGCCGTCAAGAGATCACATAAGCTGTTACCATTCCAGCCAATCCTAGGTACAGCAACCAAGAACTACCAATTTTGGGTCAACCACCCACAGCAAACCGCAACATCATACAGGGGCAAGACAGTATGATGGACTGGAAAACTCTACATGAATCAAGGGCGCGGCATATCTATCTATCCTCAAGGAACTTGGAATGATTCGAACAACAGAAAAGACGTCTCATTTACCGCACTTGACTCAAGCTTTTTACATCAAAAGATAAGCAAACGAACTAAGAAACTCTCTGCTATTTGACTTCGAATTAAAGCAAGATTCCATCACATCCTCCTGCCGTAAACAGCACCCAAGATACGAAAGAAAATGTACCCAGAACCAAAGACAAGTAAACGAAGTGAGCGGCCAAAAAAAGGCAGCTGAAACCAAACCCAGATGAACGAAATCTCAGAGAGCGAGATACAGGGGGAAAAAAGAAGCGAACAAACAGAGTGGGAGCAAGATCTAGAAGAGAAGAGGATGGGGGGAAACCTGGAGACCAGCACGAGAAGAGCGAGAGGTGGGTTTCTTCTTCTCTTTGTCCTTGTCCTTATTAGCTGCCGCCGCTGCAGCAGCTCCCTTCCCCATAATCAAACCCTTTGCTCCTTTCCCCGACATCTTCGTTTCCCGCCAAGAAAAGCTTTCTTCTTCGGATTAAGACAGAAGAGAATATAGGAAGGAAGAATTAAATAGACAAGAGCCCAGATGCAAGGAAGGACCGGAGCTTGGTGTCAGGGAGAGTCGGTTTATTCAGTACAGCACGAACTCTCTCAAAGTCTCAATCTTTCCCTCACTCTCTCTCGAGATGGATTGAGGATTCACGATGGCCAAAGGAATCGGGGAAGACGGAAGGAGGAAGAAAGATATAAAGAGAAAACGACTCAGAAGTTGAGAATGACTCAATTAGCCCTGTTTCTTCTTCATATTTATCTACCCTGCCCTTCTGTCGCTCCTGTGGGATGTGGCTGTGTCCTGTCTTCTTCGATCTTTCGTTTCCTTGCCAGAATACTACTTTTTCACTCCAAAACTGATTGATTGAGGTACAAGCATGAATCCAATCTTGTAAGCAAATCCGAAATAAGATTAACAATGGCGATCCGATCATGGGGTAAAGAAAATTGTTCTTGAAAATGATCAACTCACTCAGTTGCCATCGATGGAATTAGACTATCGAAACAAAGACAAAAAACAGGCAGAGAGAGCTTTCACAAGCACCTTGCTATTCGAACGTACCACATATGTAGACAAAAACTAACATGTCTCGCGACGGTTTAAGGAGGTCACATAATCTGGAACGTCAAGGTGAATCCTCGTCAATCGTCATAGAAGCTCATAGCAGTTTACATATACCAAGGCGATTGTGTTGGAAGAAGCTTGTACAAAAATTTCAGTGTCTTCTTTCAAGTTGTAATCCCTCCCAAATATCATGATGACTGACCAAAGCCAGAGACACCAACCTTCTCAGTCCAGCACCATTTCCATAAGGCAGAGATGAAAACGAACGACACAAATTGAGAGATCAAGAAAAGAAGAAGGCGCGAAAAGGAAAAGATAACAACAACAAAAAAAAAAGTGGGTTTGGTCTAACTCGGGCAAAAAGGAGTTACATCACTCTTTCCCTGCTGCCTCATCCTTCTCTTTAGCCTTCCCCTCATCACCACTAATGTGAAACCCCTCAATCTTCTTAGAAACTTCTTCTGCAGCACTCACCTTCACCTTCCCTGCCACCGTTCCATTGGCTGCCGCCGCCGTCGCCCCACCATCGCTCTCGTCGTTTGTTAGTGGGCCCGTCTGCCATATTCTGATGGTCCCGTCTTCTGACCCGGACGCGTATGATTCTCCACCCGGTGAAAACCGCACGCAGTGGACTGGACCATGGTGGCCCTTGTTACAAGCTACACATCAACGTTTCAGAAAATGCAGCATCAGAATGCTTTGGTTATCAAAGATCCAACACATTCTATTACTAGTAGATCCGAGAGAAATGGAGAATGTACCTATCTCCTCCCCTGTGTGGAAGTCATATACGTGAACCCACATGTCTTCTCCCCCAGCAATGAACTTATTCCCGTACTTGGGTTCCAAGGAAGCTGACTCCACAGTGCAGGACATGTTGTAGCTCTTCACAAGCCCAAAACTGTAATAAAGTAGACAAATGAAAGAAACCGTGAGCAATCGGGAAGGTGTTGGCTTAGGATAAATGATTGCTGGAGAGAGCTTACTGATTTGCATCCCAGAACTTGACGGTTGAACCATCAGCAGTTGTGATATAGCGACCGTCCTGACTGACTTCGGCACTTGTCACTGATGACTTGGTCTCAAGGGTTTGCACTATCTTACCACTTCTTACGTCCCACAATCTGTCAGATGCAAGGTAGATAATAGTCACAATAGACGAACAAAGATACGTCTTGTTGAAGAAGATATTAGTTGATGCAGAGTTCTTGGTAAACTTAGAAGAATAAGCAGCACACCTTACACCACCCATATCAGTGCATGAACCCAGAATGGTCTGATCACTATGCAGCCAAGCAAGAGTTCTAACTGAACCAGGGGATTTATCAACTTCTCTTGGAGGTGCATCTGGGCGATTCAGATCATAAATGCGCAAAATTTTCTCTAGTCCACCAGTAAGTAGAAGATGAGTGTCCTGAAGGAGAAATTGGAGGCTCAAGATGAGATGTAACCAGAAATAGAATGCAGATATCCTGAAAGCATAATAATGGCTGCTATTTCCGCATCTGTATAGTTAAGCTAATCTTATGTGCCCAAAGTCATCAAACATACATTGTAAAGAAGATTTTTCATTAAAAAGAATATGGAGAAAGACTGAAGTGCATATGTACCTCTGAAAACGCACAAGCTCTAACTATGTGCTTGTGTTCAAAGGAATGCAGTTCATCCCCCGATAATGCATCCCATACTTTCCTGCATATTGAACAGGAGTCTAAAACTAGTTAGTCTCCACTCCATCCAATCCAAAAGCCAGATTTGCCAATTAACACCACACATAGAAGCAAGGTTGATCATAATAAATAAGGTAAGTTATGGTGAAGAAAAATGAAGAAAACTACCTAAAGGCATCAAAACCCATACCCCAGTTCATAATAAGCCACAAAGGAAATCACATTCTTATACAACTCATGACAAAATGTTAAGAAGGGGGCTAACTGTATTGTGTTGCAATGTAAACAAGCCAATGCAGGAAGATCAAAAGTTGAAAGCAGAAGAAGAAAGGGCGAAGAAACCAGGCACATAATTACATCAACAAACAATATGGTACTTACGCAGTAAAATCAGCAGAAGCAGAAGCAGCACGTAATGCATTAGTATCCAAGCAGGAGCTCCACACTGCACCCTTATGCCCTTCGAAGGTTCCAATCCAATCTCCAGTTTCTCCATTTCTAAGCATGGGACTAGAATCTGAACAGACACAGGTTAAGATCCTTACGATTAGAAAATGCACACCAATTAATCCCATTACCAGCAGCACAACGATTTGTGCAATCAACTTGAATCCATAAGCTCATACTTCTGCTCCTTAAACCAAATAGTTGCTGCAACCCTTCATTGATTCAACTTAACTACAATCATATATACTAGCTAAAGCTTCCATATGCAAATGTTTGCCGCAACCATTCATTGACTCAACTTAAATGCAATCATCTAAACTAGCTAAGCACTTCCATAAATATTAACACACAGCCTCCATAATAGCAAGAGATTAGGCCCAAATTCTTGCAATAACACTCTTGCCGGCACAATTCATCTCCAGGAAAACAAACCCAAATTCGGAATTAAACCCAGAGTTTAAGGAAAGATGATCATTACCCTTGCTGGCACTGATCAGGAAGAAACCATCGGGAGTAGTAGGACTGTAGAACAGATCCACCACCGGCCGGGAATGGCCATGGCAGACCAAAGGAACGGCAACCTTCTTCTTATCCATAACAAAAGAACTACCAAATGCCTAGAATAAAAATCCCTCCTTTTTATCCCTAAACGGATCCCTTACCGGCAAATTCTTCAACCCTAACAAATATCCACAAATTTATCCAAATCCCAACAAAATTGGGGCGAAACTGTACCGATCGGCCGAGCAACGAAGATTAGACAAAGGACGAAAGGAAACCAAGAAATCGTCTTTCTGTTTGTACAGCGATTAGATTTAGAAAGGAAAAAAAAGGGTAGTAGTAGAAGAAGAAGAAGTAGAATTTGGCACAGGTGGGAAATACGCCCCCGATGATCTAATTTGAATCCGCACCTCCTAACCCTAGCTATGCTCTAAGGAAATGAATCTATCGGAGATCTCTGCTGTAAAATATATTTTTTTTTTTGAATTTTCTTTTTGTTGCGGGGGAGAAGAAAATTGGTACTTCGGCCAGAGAGCAGTGACTCCTCCAGGGGCTAGGCGCAGAGTTCCAATGGCGACGGATCTGGTCATTTATAGCCTCTGCCTCCCATCAGCTCCGGCTGACTTTCCGGCTGCCATCTTTTCTGGGCCGCCCGGGTTTTAGCAGCCACAACCCATTGGGCTTCCAGTTTGCTGGGCCGGAGACGGGCCGCCACTCTAAATCGGACCGTCCAAATGTCATCACTTTTTCCGACGAGGAAAAAGATTACCCCGTATAGAAATGTGTATATATATATAGGCGGTATCGGTAGCCAGTTTCTCCGTCCGTTCCTTCCGCCTGACTTGATTACGAAGAAATCTCCGCTCTTCCCCCAGAACCGTCACCGGCGGCGATCGTGAAAAGTGAAAACAGTTTCTCAAAGCTCTGTCTTCAACAATGGCGACTGCTGCCGTCGAGATGAAAGGACTTGAACCATATTACCAACAACACTACCACGAGCTCCAGCTCTTGGTTCGGCAGAAGTCGCTCAATTACAATCGTCTCGTAGCTCAACGGAATGAGCTCAATTCTGGAGGTGACTGCTCCAATCTCGCAGCTTTGTTCCTTCTAGCCCTAGTTTTTTTTTTCTCTCCTCCCTGCCTTTGAATCTTTTGGGGGAAGGCTTAATTCTTAAATGTGGCTGGTAATTTGACGGTGTTTGACTTTGTTTGTGAGCAGTGAGGAGCATGAGGGAAGAGGGGCAGCTGCTTCAGGAGCCTGGGTCTTACGTTGGGGAGGTTGTCAAAGTAATGGGCAAAAATAAGGTCTTAGTAAAGGTAAGATCTTTCGTTTCAAAAACTAAGATTGGTTGCTACAACTATCTGCTGCAATCCAGCTGATTGCTATAGCACTATGTTTTCACGAATGCTATTAAGTAACAGAATTTGATGTCATGTTTGATAGAGCTTCTGTGATTGGAATGGAATCAGAATGAGACCAGCTAGTGATTTGTTTTCTTTTCGGTGTTAGTGCTTCGACTTGTTTCTTAGTGCTTCATATTGGAGAATTTGTTTCAATCTAGTCATTGACGGTTTCACTGCAGTTTGTCATTCTGGCTAAAGTTTCCCATTATGTGTATGAGGTAGATGGTGTGACACATTGTTCTGTTGGTGTTCTGTTCAGGTCCATCCAGAGGGGAAATACATTGTGGATGTCGACGAAAGTATCGACATCACAAAGATCACACCTTCGACAAGGGTGGCTCTTCGTAACGACAGCTATGTTCTTCACCTTGTGTTGCCCAGCAAGGTGGATCCTCTGGTCAATCTTATGAAAGTTGAGAAGGTTCCGGATTCTACCTATGATATGATTGGTGGGCTTGATCAACAGATTAAAGAAATGAAGGAGGTTAGTTGGCTTAGTGTTTCAGTATTCTGGTTCCTGATCCGTAACTTCGACTGTTGCGAGCTGATTGCTTGTTCTATTCCCTATGTATTGTCAAATCCAGCTCATTGAACTTCCAATTAAACACCCTGAATTGTTCGAGAGCCTTGGAATTGCTCAACCGAAGGTACGGAGAGTATTGTTGTAATATAAGGTTGCATCTTTTGAACCAGTTTTGCCAAGACTAAATTACACGGAGATTCTAACTGTCGCATCCTTCTTTTCTTTGTCATAGGGTGTCTTACTGTATGGTCCACCTGGAACTGGGAAAACTCTCTTGGCTAGAGCTGTTGCCCATCATACTGACTGCACTTTCATTAGGGTCTCTGGTTCTGAACTAGTTCAGAAGTACATTGGTGAAGGCTCCAGAATGGTCAGGGAGCTTTTTGTTATGGCAAGGTATGTTCCCATCTGTATTTTGACCCCTTCCCTTTAGTGAACAGGAGAGATGGGGTAATTCCATCTTGGAATTGGTATTGCAACATGTTTGTAATGGCTTGATGGTTTATATCCTTTTGACATAACTTACTCATTTGTTTATCTACCGTCGATTCTGTTGCAGAGAGCATGCACCATCTATCATCTTCATGGATGAAATCGATAGTATTGGTTCTGCTCGAATGGAATCAGGAAGTGGCAGTGGCGACAGTGAGGTGCAGAGAACTATGCTTGAGCTGCTCAATCAGCTTGATGGATTTGAAGCATCTAACAAGATCAAGGTACTGCATCTGTAACTTGTAGAAGAATGGAATTTGTTGAACACACTATTGTCTGATGCAGTTTCTCAGATTAGATGTATTGTTCTCATTTATCTTACAGGTCCTGATGGCCACAAATCGTATCGATATTCTTGATCAAGCTCTGCTCAGGCCTGGACGAATCGACAGGAAGATCGAGTTCCCTAATCCTAATGAAGACGTGTGTACACGATTTTAATCTCGTATCCTTGATTTCCTCCTTAACTAGAAAGATATTAACTTCAATTGTGCAAAATTGCAGTCTCGCTGGGATATCTTGAAAATTCATTCAAGGAGAATGAACTTGATGCGTGGGATTGACTTGAAGAAGATAGCAGAAAAGATGAATGGAGCATCAGGTGCAGAGCTCAAGGTAAGAACAAACAATCTTAAGCCACACCTCTTGTGTTGTTCTTCTCCCCCTCCAGTTCGGTTGGTCTTGCTAGTCTCATGCTGATGTGAATCATTTCGCATTTGGCAGGCGGTGTGCACAGAGGCAGGGATGTTTGCGCTCAGGGAGAGGAGGGTGCACGTAACACAGGAAGATTTCGAGATGGCGGTGGCTAAGGTTATGAAGAAGGAGACGGAGAAGAACATGTCGTTGAGGAAGCTGTGGAAGTAATTGATGAAACAAGAGATGGAGAGCTGCAAAGAACTACTAGGTTATTGATTAGAGTAAACCTAAGAGCTAATTTTTATATGATACATGAGTGTCCTCTTAAGTGGGAAGCATGACTATCTTGGCAGAATGATACTTATTTTGTTTCGTGGATTCATAGTATTATTTACTAATTTCATGTTCTTGATTTATACAAAAACATATCACTACATCTAACATAACAACTATCAATACATAGGAGGAAAATTGGCCTTTAGGTTTGTACATAAATATATAATGTACATATAGTCAATGAGACTGATCATATAACCACTAACCAAATGTATTGAATTTTGAGAGAGGTATAAAGTATTCCGTTCATACTTTGAAAGTCTACCAACTCCTTATGTCAACTTATTATTGTAATAAACTATTTGGTTGGAGTGTTTCTTATAGAATATTTTGTCCCAATAACTTAGATTTTTGTGAGAGGTTCAATTACAGATCTCATGCTATTTGTTCACACACCCTTCAAATGAAAGGCAACTCATACGGACTTGAAGTTTGTATAGGTCTGGATACCATATGCTTAATAATATTAAGGGTCGTGTAAATTCAAACACAAGGTCTCTCAATCATAAAGTTACTCTGATATAATCTCATAAACCATTTGGTCTCAATAACTCGAGTTGTTGGGAGAGGTTCAATTATGAATCTCATACCCATTTACTAACACACCCCTCTCAAACGAAAGCCAACTCGTATGAGGCTTGAAAGTTGCACAAATCTGAATATCATGTGCTTAGGGCTTCAAGATTGCGAATTGAAAACAAGATCTTCTTGTTCTTGTAAACAATTTTAGAAAGAAAACAGTATTTTGTGATCTCTATTATTTTCTAGTTAGTATATTCTACATCTGAGTTTAATGTAAAATGTACTTGAAGATGAATTTAGCGAAACCCGCCCCAAGCCCCGCTCATGACTTTCTCTAGTTGTAGCTAGGGTGGCCTCTTCCCCCTTGAATTCTTGATAAGGAAATTTTGGACCAATTCATAGCAAGCAACAACAAGACTGCACAAAATCTGGCAAATGGATCGAGGAGAGAAGAAACCCAATGAACCACTTGCTCTGCCTCTCTCTCTCTCTCTCTCTCTCTCTTTATGCCCTGTTTCCGGCCGTCCAAATTCCGGCAGCGTTCTAATCAATCTTCTTGTTTACCATTTCCAGCCATGCGCCAGTTCGAACCTTCCCAAATCCCAAAGACCCTTATCTACATAATAATATTCGATCAAATCAATACAGTTGACTTCTTCCCTCTCCCCCCCTGCAAATTAAAACCCTTCCCCTGCTTTTTCTTCTTCACTATCCTCGCAAAAATTCCTCCGAACCACCATTCCAAATGTCAATCCTTCCCCTCTCCTTCTCCTTCTCCTTCTCCCTCTTCCTAATACTCTTCCCCTCCGTCTGCCTCGCCGATATCGGCACCGCCGCGTGGTACGCCCCGCCGTATTCCCGTAAGCAACCACTACTGTTTTTACTCATTACCCACTTGTCAAAGATTGGTTTTTTCTTTTTTTTTTTAAGCTGCGATTGTCATTTACTCTTGCTGCAGCGACGGCGTGTTCCGGCAGCGACGCGTCGCAGTTCCCGTCGAGCTCCCTGTTCGCGGCGGCAGGGGAAGGGATATGGGACAATGGGGCGGCCTGCGGGAGGCAGTACAAGCTGCGGTGTCTCAGTGCGGTGGCGGCCGGATCGTGCAAGCCCGACGAGACGATTGAAGTCAAGATCGTGGATTACGGCCGGAGCTTGGTGTCTCCCCGGTCGGCGGCGGGGACCACCATCGTGCTGTCGCAGACGGCGTTCGAGGCCGTCGCGAATTGGACCGCTAGCCGGAGTATCAACATTGAGATCCAACAGTAAGCTTAGCAAGAAACCATGCTCTGTTTTTTGTCTCTTTTCTCAATTTTGATCGAATTCTCTGTTTCTGTTTTAAATCTCTTGGGGTTGGAACTTTCCGTTGCAGGGTCTGAATTATGAAGAACAGTGATGGAGATGGAGTGGGTCTACTGACTTTCCTCGAGGATTCCGAAATCGCGGAAAAGGAAACCATGTCTGTCCTGGATTGTAATGGGCGATAACTATGAGGAAAGTTTAGACCACAATTGAGAAATCCATTAGCATCAGCTTTCTTGGATATGAAATTCTTTCATTTGGTGTATAGCTAACAATTCCAAATCAATAAGACAAATTACTTTTTTGGCATGGAGTAGAATTGCATGTCATGTCATGTCATGAACGAGTTAGTCCCAATAAGTCGAGTTGTTTGGATAAGGTTATGCGGGATCTTATATTATATTCTAACATGCCATCTTAAACGAAAGCCAACTCATGGGCTTGAAGTTTGCACAGCCCCACCATACCTTATGTTTTAATCAACTTTTAATATCGAGGGTCGTGGAGATTTGAACAAACGACCATTTGGTCAAACCAGCTCTGATACCATGTCAAGAACCAGTTGATCGCAATAACTCGAATTATTGAAAGAGGTTATGTTGTATTTTATATCACACTCTAACGTTCACAACAACAAGTAGAATTTCAGACAACGTAAACGGTAAGAGAACTATTTTTTTTTACAATAACTATAAGAGAACCAGGCAACTGAATTACGGAGGGGAAATCTAGAATTCTGAGGATTAGGAGACAAAAATAATGATAAATTTTCTATAATGTCGTGAAAAAGAAGGGTTGATAAATGAATCGTGGAGCTCCTGTTACAAAATTGATATAGTTCAAATTGATTTTTAGTATAATAAAATGGAGATGAACACAACATGGTTATTTAAAATGTGATCTTTCTCTAGCACTATTTAAAATAAAACTATCTATTAGCTCCCTAATTTTCATAGTCTCCACGAGATCATTTTCAGTCGTTGTCATAACTAATCCATTAAAACTTTTTTGTGTTAATTTTTTTTAAACAAATAGGACTTTCGACTCCCAAACACGACTTTAAAAAATCATTATACGTGTCTCGTATATGTATATATGAGAATATTGACCAATAACTCGTACTAATATTAATTAATGTAATTGAAGTCATCATAAAACTCATAATCAATTAATCATATACCAGTACACCATAAATACAACCTATAATATACGATCAAATTCACTAATGGACCTACGTGGAGGTCTCCTAACATGTGTATTTTACGTAACATTTGTAAAATGTCAATGAGTGATGACATGCACTACCGGTTACGTACCACTATATTATAGGTAATCAACAATCTTAATTGATTTTAGAATAGTTTAACGATATAGATTTATACAAGTTACCTAATTTGAAATTATGAGATCACTATTTTTTTTTTTTTTGACAAAAGGCAACGAAATTCCATTCCTTGTGGCAGAAGCCCAGTGACTACAAGAGTGGAGCAATTACATCAAGAACATTCACCCAATCAACAGGCAGAATATTTTTCGCACATGATCGAGCCACCCAATTAGCTTTACAGTTTCTTCTTCTGTTGATGAAGTCGAACCTGATGATCGGGTGGTTGATAGAGAAGTTATTGATCCGGTTGATCCAGCCTGCTGCACGCCATGGCCAAACCTCCATTGGGTTTGCAAGTGCTTGGACAAGGGTTAGGCAGTCAGTCCTGATCAGGCATGGTGCTGCTTTTATTTATGGGTAAATACAATGTATTAGCCACAACTATTATGAAGCGGGGAATTATAGCCACAACTATGAAAATTCAAATTATTAGCCATAACTATTGTTCCGAGTCAAGATATGGCTAATTGTCCGTTACTGTTATTGAATTTTTAATGGAGAATGTCACGTCATCGACCACAACAGCAGCCACGTCGGACTGCTTTTAATTTATAACTTTAAAACATAAAAGTTTAGCTAGTATTACTAACGAAATTGTTAACAGATAGTTAACATTTGGCTGATAATTTGAATTTCCATAGTTGTGGCTATAATTCCCTACTTCATAATAATTGTGGCTAATATATTGTATTTACCCTTTATTTATCGATATATCGTGATATTTTGGCGTTTTATCGTGCTCCCGAAGTATTCTCTCCCACGGGTAGCCATCATATCCGGCTCGAAGTCCGTCTCCGCAGAAAATTATGTAAAAGGAAAACAAATGGACAGATCGAAACGTTTCAGGCTACATTTTACGAGTCCATCGCCTCCCTGCCTGCTTCCCCTTATCCACATATAACGAAATCAGAACACTCGATTGATTTCCCGATTCGAAGACCGTCCGTCGTCGTCTCCTCTCGCCGGAGTTCTGAGTTATCCCGGCTCCGCCGTCCGATCAAGCCAAGAGACTCCGCTTCGTCTCCTGCATAGCCACCTTCCTTCCTGGAATTTCCCCGATTGCGGGATCTCCGTTGGTTGTCGTCTTCTGAAGACCCCGGTCAGGTGAGATGATTTGGCTTATCATCTCGATTTGCTGTCAGCTAATTGCCCAATTCGAAGTTAGGGTTCCCCAAGACGCCTGACATCTTTGGTTTATTATTACTTAGATGAGAGCGGAAGTCCAGATGGAGCCAGCAGGCGGGGAGGGTCACAGTGACGCCGACCCTTTGCTGCAGAATCAGGCCGATTCTCTTTCGTCGCCAGCAAGTCCCAGCGAGATCACTAACGAGGAGGATGATCTCGAGAACGGGTCGGTTCCCACTTGCCGCATTTGCCTCGAGAGCGATTGCGATCCAGGTTAGTGTTTCATCGGATGAAAAGTCTTGAGCTTGATCGCTTTTGGCTAACTGGGTTCGGGTGGAGTTTCTGACCCGACTGGCTATTCGTTCCAAAGTTTCTATTTTGTGAATCATTGGATTGGATGATTGTGGTTGAAGTGGGAATTGTTGGTGTTGGTTTAGGAAATAGAAGAGTGAACAAAGTGGTATCCTTGAACATGGTCAGAATTAGACTCTAGGAAATTGGTGCCACTATGGCTGCTTGCTAAGTTTGTGGTCTGGAATGGATGTAGTTTAGTTGGATGGAGTGCATTTTCTTGCAGACAGTTCAATTTAGGTTTGCTGTGCCTGTGCTTAATGTTGAGAATTTGATATTGTAGGAGATGAGCTGATATCTCCATGTATGTGCAAAGGCACTCAGCAGTTTGTTCACCGTGTGTGCCTTGATCATTGGCGTGCAGTTAAGGTAAGCACTCCGCTCATGAAGCTGATTACTTTTTCTTGGAGTTAATTGATCTTGTTCTTGGGTATACAATAAATAGATCTTCTGTCTCTTTTTTATATAGGAAGGATTTGCTTTCTCTCACTGCACTACTTGCAAAGCACAGTTCCATCTTCGAGTTGCATTGCTTGAGGTGAATTCTTGGCGTAAAATAAAGTTCAGACTTTTTGTGACAAGGGATGTCCTTGTCGTGTTTTTGGCCGTACAAACAGTGAGTAATCTGTCTACTTTCTAAGTTCTGAGTTTATAATGTGCCTTGCCAATAATAGTTGAAAAACCAATGTAATCCACAAAAAATTTGTAACCACCCTGTAGCATCTTATGCATTGATTTGCATACTTGAATGAAGCAATTGGATATCTGTGCTATTTGACTCAAATCCCTTAGATGTCACTTTAAGTACTGGCATTCAAATGAACCAGTCTACAGCTACTCAGGTTGGCATCCTATTCCAACTCCGCAACAGGAAATCATAAAAAGAGAAACTTATAGAAGACTTGTAACCCTAGATTATATACAAGGACCATTTTCATGCCTAATATTTTTTTCTTCCTAGGTGATTGCTGCTATGGGCGGCTTTGCCTTCCTAATGGACAAAGATGGAGCCTTTCGGAACTCATTCAGTGACGGTTGGGATCGAATACTGTCTAAACATCCCATTCCCTTCTACTATTGCATAGGTAGGGGTATCTCTGTCTATCACCATGTTATTCTCACTCCTATTTGCTGTCTATATCTCATGGCAGTGTTGGTTTTTTGCTCCTTCCATTGATAGTCTGCATGCTTATGTTGCTGGTAAATAAATTGCTTTTATCAGGAGTTTTGGCTTTCTTTGTGCTGCTCGGGTTCTTCGGCCTTATACTACATTGCTCGACCCTCAACAGCAGTGATCCTCGGATGGCCGGATGCCAGAACTGCTGCTACGGATGGGGAATCTTGGACTGCTTCCCTGCATCCATGGAAGCATGTTTTGCCTTGGTACTGGTGTTTGTTGTCATTTTTGCCATCCTCGGCATAGCTTATGGCTTCCTTGCTGCCACCATGGCTATTCAAAAGATCTGGCAGAGACATTACCACATCCTCGCCAAGAGGGAGCTAACTAAGGTGATACATCGATCGATATTACCACATTTTCCCCAATTGTTTTGGCTGCAGAAATAGAAGAGGTTTCCATAGTGTTGACGGTGAAACGTTTCGCAGGAGTACATAGTGGAAGATCTTAACGGTTGCTATACCCCACCAAAGCTTGACGCGGAACATGAAGAGAAGTTGAAAATGCTAAAGCTTTTGTAGCTGGGTACTTGTGTAAGAAAAAAAAGGTAAATGTTGGAAGTCATTTGAGAAGACAACATGTGATGTTTAACTAACTATTATGTACTACCCTGGTTCTGATATAGAATGAAGCAGAATTCGAAGGAGATTTCTTCTCTCGTTTTTCCCACAAAAATTGGTCGATTAATTTGTCACAATTGTCATTTCGATAAGTTCATATGAAACTACTGCAGGCTTTGGTTACAACGTAAAGAAAATATATTTGTCCGATGTTTATTTAGTATTCATGCCCGAGTATGCAATTTATGAAATACAGAGTACAATTTGAATCCAACCATTACTACTATGAATAGGATAGTCTACTACATGATAACATTGATATGATTTTCCAGTACAAGCTTTTCTTCAAAGTGAAGAGAAAATAGGGACGCCTGGTATGGTGGCTCCGGCATCCACGAGGAACATATTGCCCGTCACATACTGCGACGAATCATGAATGAGGTATCGGATGATCGATGTCAGTGCTGGATCTACAGTTCCATATGTTTGTAGAGGGAGTGTTCTCTTGCCGGCCTGCTTCAGCCAGTCTTTCTGCATCAGGCCTTTCGTGATCTCGGACTGGAAAATTCCAGGTGATATAGAATTGACCCTGATCCTGTACACCCCCAACTCCCGAGCCATCGCCTGTGGCAAGACAAATCAATGCATTAAGAACTTCCATGTAAGGAGAAACACATGTGATCTTTGTATTGCAGGTGTTCGTGTCTAAGAAGAGAGCAGAGTGTTCAGTTTTACCGCTGTCAGTGCATTTACTCCCGCTTTGGAAGTAATATAACCAACATTACCGACCGCCACTTGACCACGAGGGTGACCGGCGATCGAAGCGATGTTGATTATGCAACCTCCGACCCCGGCATCACGCATTCGCTTGCCGACTGATTTCGAAACCAACCAAGTCCCCGTCGTATTCGTCTTCACCTCGTGGTTCCATTCCTCTTCAGAATACTCTAATGGGTTCTTAATGCTACCTCTCACCCCTGCATTGTTGATCAATGCATCCACCCTCCCAAACGCCTCCCAAGCCCTCTGCACCGCAGCGTCGATGGCCCCACCGTCCGTCGAAACATCCATCTCCACAGCCACAGCGCGACGATGCAGACCATCGCTAGCGATGGTCTGCACATTGATCTCGTCGCACAGAGACTGCAAGCGGTCGACGCGTCTAGCAGCAGCCACTACCCTGCATCCAGCTCTGGCTAGGTCGAGAGCGAACTCTCGGCCCAGCCCTGAAGATGCGCCCGTGACGAGGACCACTTTGCCTCGCAGGTCGCACCACGGCTCGAGCTGCGAGTCTGCTGTCACGGCCGTCATCACCTTGCTAGCCATTGCTAATGCCTGATGAGAGTGGTTTTCCCCTGACAAGGTGAGAGTAGGCTATAGAGAGTGAGAGAGTTCAGTCACGGCAATTCAGCGAAGAACACTAGGAGCTGGTACTATATATAGTGACGATTTTTTTTCTGGTGGTTAAAGAAGGCAGGCAGGCAGTTGGGCGGCGCAGTACTGCGACTACAGGAATTGGACGGCTGAAGTAGAGAATTGGGCAGCCAGCAGTTGTTGTCTATGTGGAATTCTACTGTAGGAGTTTCAGAAGAAGATGCATAAACAGTATACTGCAGCTGGCAGAATGGATTTGGTTTACACATTACACCTCAGCTGGTAGGCCTCTCCCATCTTATTGCCTAAATTTTGGTGGAAATTTGGCTTCAAGCCCAAGGTTGTCGAACTGTCGGATTAAGCCGTCAAGCCGGCTTGACAAGTGGTTTGAAGTTTAATGGTTGGATGGGATTCAACGTCGTTCTATTCCATCTATGGTTCAAGGTTCACAGTCCACCACAATGAGTTAAGATTTCGTTGGTTCGCTCATGGGTCACGGTTCTCAATCCGCCCCCCTGCTGGGAGGCGTCGATGACGTACTAGGCAAGGAAAAAATTCTAAATATTTCGTCAGGAGGGACGTGACAAAACAGAAGGCGAGGAAGAAACGAAAGAGTGATGCTGAGCCATCATACATTTGCATTGCTGTATTGCTGCAATTTGGAAAATGACATTGAAAGAGAGGCAACATTGACACTGGCTAATGACAATCCCCTCTTCCGCCCTTGATAGTGCCGATGGATCGAGCTATAACCAAGCTCCTACAGTCCTACTGCATTCTCCTCCCCTGCTTACAAGAACTCTGGTTCTGGTCAGTGCTCACTTCTTGGAATGCCCTACATCATTGTTTGCTTCCCAAAATAGATATACACAGAAGAAAAGGCACACCGCTGTACAATGCCCTCCCCAAAATAAGTTTATAACGGAAACCACAGTCTGCATACCGGAATCAAAGCATCGAGCAGATCAACATTGAGACTAAAACAACATTAGGTTGCAGTTTTCTGAACTTGAAATCTGTAGGTGCTGCTGGGATTGCAGTTGAAGTTATTGTCGCCTCCAAACCCGTACTTGGTCTTGTAGCCTGGATACTCTATGAAATTAAACTTCTCCCTAGCAACAAGCATCAACCCGGTGACCGAAGCCAAGCCCTCCAGATCCCATTCCCTATGGAACGCATTCGTTTTGTGCGTGATGTGAACTTCCCCTCCATCTTCTTTCAGCAGCTTCTTGGCATTCATGAAGAACAGTCTTATCAGCTTCTGGTGCCTCCTGCAAATTCACATAAATCAAGTGGCATTCGCAATGAAGCTCAGTAAAAATTTGTGCTGGCATTAATTCCAGCTCAACTCCTACTGTGGGTACTACAATGCTAATTAACGAACCGAATCTGTGAATTTGTAGATTCTGCGGGGTAGAATCCAGCATGTGGGAAGTTGAAAACGACGCGATCAAACTTCATTCCCTTGAGCAAGACGTGGTCCGCCATTTTCGTGGCGTCCAACCCATGCATTACCAAACACCCTCTAGCTCTTAGTCCAGCGATATTTGCCATAGCTTTACTGTAATTCTTGCTCAAAAACTCTGCAAAATCACAATGCACACATCGACAACGATTAATCTCTAGCGACACTATGGTACATTGCTTAGATTATCCCTGAACTGACCTTGGGAATTTAGTGAAGTAGCAACAATGTTGAAAGCAGCAGTGCCAAAGGCCAAAGCCAAACTAGCCGAGAACGAGAAATCGCCTTCCCCAACCAGTAGAATCTTGTGCCTGCTGCAGTAATGCTTCTTCCACACCTCCTTCACCTCGCACAGCTTCAGCTTCACTTCCTGTCGGCTGTTTAACTCTGCTTGCTTAAAGGCCGAGATATCCACACATACTTGATCATAACTTCTTCCTTGCCCCTTCTTCATATGCACGAGCTGATCGAAATCAATGGTTACACTGTCACCCCGCTGCCTACCAATTGATGAATCTCCAAGCCCATCTTGCATTGACAATGGAGCTTCAGTGGAGGGATCGACATTGCTGCAGGGAGGGTTTGGTGGAGTGCTGCTCCCCGGAAACAAAACAAAGTGTTTTGGAACTTGAGGTGTTTCTAAAGCAACCAACAAGCCATACTGCTGTAATTCCCCATCACCATTGGAGATGGAGGTGAGCAGTGCATCACGGAGGTTCACATCTTCAATGATGGTGGCTGTTGGAGGCAGGGGATTTTCGCCTTGTTGGACCGATTTCGGCCTTGCTATTTCTTCATCGTCACGATCTTTGCGGCGGCCGCCACAAAGACAGCGAAGAAAACAAGATAAGATGTGACCCATTAACCCCCAAAAATCAATCAAAACATCTTCATCAGCCACACCCTTTGAAGTTCAGCTGCATGCAGAAGGGTATTGCAGCACTTGTAAACTCAGATGAGAAACGACATGCGAAGCAAATGTGCAGGACAAACTAAGCATGCAAGAACTCAGAAACAACTCAACAAAGTAAAGATCAGAAGATTATATAAAGTAGAACAAGCTCGGTTCAAAAGTGGTTACTGTTGAAGACGAGACTGATTAAGAGTGAAGCTTGGTTCTGGGTCTAGCTTGAGTTGAGAGAAAGAGATCATCAATGGGTCGTGCCAACAATTATCAAATCATCGAAAAGTCGAATGGGGTTTGGAGTTGATCAAAACCCATTCTGGAGACAAGGAAACTTTCCCATGAAGGAGTTGAAAGGAGAAAGACTGAACGAGTAAGAGAGAGAGAGAGAGACTAGAAGCGTCTTTATTTAGTGTTTTATTACACACTCCACCTCTTGTCTCTTCCTTGTTCCTTCCCAAAGCCACTCTCTCCAATGGTCTTTCGTTCTTTCTTCAAGTCTGCTGCTTTCTGCTTTTCAGGCAGCGCAGCCCGAATAGTAGCAACTAGCAAGGCTACAAACTAGAAAATAGTGAGTATCATTACTGTGGGCACCCAGCAGAGTTGCTTTAACTGAAAAACTACTAGACTCACAAAAGCAACCTTCCTTCTGTTCTTGATACTCTTTCCAGCAAGATACATTCCATGGAGATACGAACAATAATTGATTGATCTAGATGTTTTTCTTACATTTTCTTTGCTTGTTGCAAAGAGGGAAAGATGAGTCCCTTCAAAGCTGACATTTTTTTCTTCTTGTATCTAGCTATTGCTTCCTCCATGACATGAGCTTGAGCTAGCTAGCAGGCTGAGGTATTTACTTACTTCAACATTACATCAAACACACAATCTAGCCTAGACTACACCAATCTCTGGATGTGGACGTTGAGCGTCTTCTTCGCGGCGGCGACTTCAAATCTGCAAATGTCGCCTTTGTTCAACTTGTTGTCAGTGGCAAACTTGATCCAGCCTCTGGACGGGATACTGTAGCCGTGGTGATCGTAAGCCAACAGCTTCACCTCCCATGTTCTGTCACCAACTCTAAGCTGCAGCAACTCCATGCTCGATTTCGTGATGTACTTGCGGATGAAATCCAGTGGGAAATTCTGCACCAGAAATCGAAAGAGGTCATGAATTTCTCGCAGAAAGAATGTCCATAAGCTGCTTAAAGTTATGTAACTCACAGGACTGCCACGAGAAGAGAAATGCTTGTTGATCACTTTACTGAAAGAAGGCTGCTTCGTGGGAATGTTCGCGCCGGCTGCAGCGAGGCCAGGATCATTTGGAAGGTTGGAGGATGAAGGTCTCAACTTTCTTCCAGCATTGTCTGTTACAAGTGTTCATACATACAAAAAACCAAACGATTAATTTAGGCCCTGTTCACTTCCATTTTCGTTTCCTGTTTTCTGTTTTCATGTTACAAATTTGGGAAACGAAACGAGAAAACATGTTTACTTTTCATTCTGTTTTCTATTCGTTTCCAACTCTGAAAACAGAAAGTGGCAAATTCCTACTGTTTTCGAAAACGAAAAAATGTCGTTTTCACCTGTTTTCAACATCTGTTTTCTCAAAAACAGGAAACAGAAATGAAAGTAAACAGGGCCTTAGGGTTTTGGACTTTTGGAGTTCTCTTTTTTTTCATCATTTCTTTTTTACCTGCAAATTCTGCAGCAGGAGCTTTGCCTTTGGGATCTCCCACCTTCTTCATCCTTCCAACACCTGGAGCTACTTCTTCAGGGCAGGAGCGATCGACTGCGAACCTCGAGTCGTCGATCTCTGCCGCGGATCGACCGAATACCACGACGTGGAAATGGGATTTCCCCTGAAGCTCGAAGAGCAGGAAGTGGCCGTGTTGGAAGCTGTAGTGTCGCGAGAACTGCTGCCATCCCTTCTTGAACCAAACCCTTCTTTCATCATCTCTAACCAGCTGTACGAGCCAGGAATCCCCATTTGGGAGCTCGAGAGTCACCTTACTTGGGAGACCATAGCAATGCTCATTGCTGAATTTCATGGGAATCAGCTGCCAAAAAGAAAAAAAACAGAGATTCGGTGTTTGGATGAAACAGGGGCGATCATGAAAACAGAGAGAGAGGGGGGCCATTTTTTTTTACCATGTGCTGGTCTTGATCAATGTCTTCCTGCAGAAGTATTTTGAAGAATCGTGGGCCGACCCGTGAAGCTGAACCATCCTCCATTGTTGCAGAAGAAAGCTTGAGAGTTAGGAAAATGGCGTGTGAGTCGAGAACAGAGGGGAAATGAGGGTTTCAATACCCACTTTCTAATAATGGGAAAAGGATGAAAAAGATTCTGATGGGGTTTTGGGATGAGACATTTCACGAAAGTAGTAACACCCACACCAGCAAGAAAGAACCGTCTTTACTTTTCCTTTGCCATATTTTGATCACTTCACCATATTTGAGAAGCTGACCCAGTTTTGCGTAAAAAAACAGAGTGCGCCAATTTATAGCAGTTCGTATTTAATTCAGACTATTCAATCGATTGAATAAAGTTTCAAACATGAATATATTTACAGAATCAAAATTTCTTACGTCTTCTAGTAATCTCTCTATGTAATTATACAACAAGATTTAGTGATTTACAAAACTTATCAAGACAAACAAACCAAAAATTTCATGATCCCATTCACATGTCTTGTTTTCCTCCATCTTTTCTCTTTCTAGTCAGAAAAGAAAAAAAATCACTCGCCATCTTTAACCGTCCAAGAAATTCCCAGGATAAACCTGCACAAAAAGGAAAGAAACAACCTTTAGCATCTGTCAAGAAAGCATTCAAAATGCCATGCTCTGTTTTTTTACTCCTTGCCTGGTTGCTCCTCTCCTGACTCACGCTCGCAGATCTCAGCCTCAGCTCGCCTCTGCCAGTAGTTAACTCATCAAACACCTCAGCTTCTTCCTCAAATCCTGCGTCTCTCGAATTGGTCCTCTGCCACCCAAAAACAAAAATCCATTTTCATGGTCTTCAACACAAGAAAGTTCATCATTCTAAAATCTAAGATCATAAAGGAATTTGCTTTTCGGGTTACCCTTAACGACATCGAACGGGTGCGCATCGGGTCGCCTTCGATTTCTTCGTACTCGACCCCGTCGAGCTCCTTCAGGTGATTGGGTTGGAAGAATTTGGGCAGGATTTTCTCCCTGATGCTTATCAAGAAGAAGAAAGGCAGAGGGAACAGGATTCCGGCAACCGGGATCCACGTCACTCCGAAGCATATCAGGAAATAGATCAGCTGGAAGATCGTGAACTTGGCTATCTCTTTGAAGGGGACCGTCTCCACGAACGATGCGTGTGGCCTTTCCAGAATCCTGATGGTTCAGAAGGCACGCGTATTTTACTTCGTCTTTAAACTAATGATACGTCTAATAGTACGTTGAAAAGCATAAGATATATCAATCCGAATCAGTTTCGGAAAAGAACTTACTTGTGTCGTCTGGTGGGAGTGATGAGAAGCAGAACAATTCTTTCCCAGAACTGGTTTCCAGGGAGACTGTCGATGGCCATGTAAGCGAAATACCCCCACAGGACCGAAGTCGGGATCTTCTTGATCACAGGCATCGCCATTAGCGACACGCCGATAAGAAGCGATTGCATGAAGTTGCTGAACCGCTGCTCGATTACACGAACAGGCAAGTAAGCATCGATCTTCTCCGGATCGAAGCTGCTTTCGCCGCCCTCTTTGCTTCCTTCACTCATCACTGCTTCTTTCAGGTTCTTCAACTCTTTCGCCGCTGATGGCTGCAACAACAAGAAAGAGGAATTCATCCATTTCTATGAGGTTTAGGGTTTGGATAAAAGATGGGAAGGTGTCCACATTGGATTTGGTTTTCACTTACAGCTGCACTTCCATCCATTTCAACAAAGGCCTCCTCCATTCTGCCGTAGGTTTTCGACTTGCTATCGTGCTGCATCATGCTTTCCTTAGCTGTTTGCACCATCTTCTTCCTTATCAACTACATTCATATATCAGCCAATACCACCATTTTCAGACCTTTGAGTAGTGACATTTAATTTCAATCCTTGAAAGAAGAACAGAGCATGTGAAAAAAGCTCCCTGACCTGTCCATTGAGAACCGAAAGGCTCTTGGTATGCATAGGAGACTGCGGGAGAACTCCATTGCAGGGAGGGAGACCAATCAATCCACAAATCAAAGTCTGGAAAAACAATCATCCAAAACAAAACACTTTCAGACTTTCAAAATTGATTTCGTAACACAATCGTTAAATCGAAGAAAGCACATACCGTGATGCCGAGGATTAAAATGTCGTAATGGTAAGCAGAGGGCTTCTTGATGTTGAACTCCTTCTGTTGTGCCATTTGAGAAGCAACACTATGATCGAAGAAGTAGAGCCCTGCAACCATCACAGCTGGTATGATCGCAGCCAGAATGAACCCTGGTGGCACTTTTGCCATATCCTGATGAAACAAACAAACAAACAAACGAATCCATTCATTACCAAAATCCTCTGCCTTGAAACAAAGTTTCAAATTTTCCTATAGAAATGATTACCATGAAGACGGTCCAGTGTCCCATTGAGGCAGGGTCCCAGGGCAGGGGAGTCTGCAGCCGCCGCGGAATTCCTTCGGGAACCTGGCGCGGCACTGTCAACGACAGTGCCGCCCATGCCATCACCACCAATGGGACGCCGTAATCGGCGATGATGCTTCGAAACCATCCGGTGCCGTATTCCCAAGACCTCGCCTTTCTGCTCTTCAGAGCTGTGATGAGAACGCCGAAGGTGAAGATGACTCCCAGAAGGCCGTTTACGTATAGCCACTGGAAGCTGTGGTCTGGTGATTTTTCGTCCTCGCCCTCCGTAGGGCTGAACTCACCCACCATCCCCTGTTTTTGTTTTCCCCCCAAACACACAAATGTTTGTTCATGTGCTTGTTTGCTCTGTTAACCACTATTCAGGGGAGTGGGATTAAATTACCTTTACGGCCTGCTGGAAGAAGAGAACGGCGATCAACATTCCAAATGTCTCGCCTGCAAGTCTGGTGAACTTGTTGAGGATGTTGCAGGCGTCGAACACGGCGAGGAGAATGAGCATGAGAGCTGTCCATACACATACCCTGAAGAAAAGAAAAGAAAAAACAGAGGATTTAAAGAAGAGAAGAAATTTCTTTGGAAGAAATCAATCAGTTGTTTTTGGCAATGGGAAAAAGGGTTTTTTTTGTTGTTTTTCGTACCATCCAGCCCAAGCAAGGTAGAGCTTTTTTCCTACGGCATCGGAGCTAATGGCAAAAGTGTAGATGTAGCTGTACATGATGACAGTAGGTTCTGCAACTCCCACCACCAACAATGGCTGCCCGCCGATAAGGGAATGGATGATTCCGCAAAGAGCCGTTGAAGCCAGGGTCTCCACCGTGCTCAGGCTTCCATCTGAAAATCGGAAGAAGAAAATTTGCAAGCATCAATGGAGGAAGAGGAAGAAGAAAAACAGAGACAAAATGATTTGGAGAAAAGAAATCCTCATAATGGGGAACCTGTTTCCCGGCTTAGTTGTTCCCCGAAAGCGATGACGGGGAGAGCGGAAGCGAAGAAGATGTAGGCAATGGGGGCGAAAATCCTGGCGGGAAGTTCGAATTTTAAATCAATCATATGATGGGAAAGTCAATTAAACCCACTTTGAAGAGATATTTGCAGAAAAGTGAAGGGGGAAGTTGGAGAGACCTGGGACCGGCGGCGAACGCATTGCTCCAGTCATCTCCATAGACAGCTTTTCTTCCTTTCACGTCTTGAATTATGCCTTTCATCGTTTACAGCTTCATGGAAGAAGAAAAGGAAAATGAGATGATGCGTGGGGTGATTCAAAACAGGGGAAGTAAGATAAATAATGCAAAAAAGGAAGAATGGATAAATGCTCTGTTTTCCTTGGTTAAAAAAAACAGAGAGGTAATTTGCTATAATTGTACCTTTGTAGCAAGCTCGAGAGGAGCCAAACCAGACGCCAATAACGGCGAATTGGCGTCTGGGGGAAGGTAGGGGAAGAAATCGGTTTTGGGTGAAAGAGAGATTGTAGAACTGAAATGAGAAGAGGGGTCAGAATAGAAAGAAAGAGAAGGAACAGAGGGAAAACAGAGGAACAATGGCGGGAAGAATACCCGAAACAGAGAGGGGAAAACTTTGTTGTTGAATGCCGAGAGAGAGAGAAGCCGTTGAATGGTATGTGGCCGCTGCTTTGTTTGGTTACAATCTCCTTCTTCTCCTCCATTCGTTCTTTTGTTCATTCTTGTCTTGTTGGATTTTGCCATAACTGGTATGCATCATAAACTATTTTTCAACCCTCCACTCAATCATATAAGGAGATAAATATTTTGAAATGTATACATACATAACTCGCATTATTATGGTAGAACGAGAGAAAATCACGACGTTTTATGTTTGATTGGTTGTTTGTGAGTAAGGATAACGAAATTAATTTGATACTCGCTTCGATGTATACATATCAATCCGTTGTAATCTAGTTGGTCCGGATTTCCGGCTAAGTGATGAATACATGGAAAAGAACCCTAAAGAACAACGAGGATCGAACACCATCTTCCTTTCCTTATCATCAAAAAAATGAAACTATACACTTGCAGAGGTTGCAATTTGCCAAATTATCAATCACCTATCATGAGTAGCAGCAGTTCTATCCTCGCTAGTTCCTTCACTAACAAACATCAATTCATCACCATCTCTAATCACTTCAATATCATCAACCTCAACCCTATCCACAGTCACAACCTTGCCAACCCTGATCCCGTATTTCTTCTCCCCCAAGTCAAGCAACTCCTGAAACGTCTTAGGAAGCACCACAAGCTTCCTCGTATCGCTTCCCTTCTCCGGGCAGCTTATCGTCACTCTAGCCACACTCTTCCCATGGCTCGGATTGTTGCTGCCAACAGGAAACAAGGCCTCTTTGCTGTGATTACTCTCCCCGTTCTGCGCAGCAGCCGACATCATCCCGAACAGCGAGTTGTGGAAGTTGTTCGTCTTCCTCCTCGGCCTCCTCCTCGAGCTCCACGAGCTATCCTCTTCACTCGCAGCCACGGGGTGGATCGTCGGCTCGCTCGTGAACCTCCCTAGGTACCTGATCCCTTTCTCCTGCTTCTCCGGTATCGACGAAACCATTGGTGGTGGGGGCTGTAGATGATCTTTCGTTAGTTTGCTCGATGTCTTGAACATGTTCTGGATCTCCTCGTGGCCCTGCTGATCGGCCAGATCGCGAGGTGTCCACCCGTTGACGTCCGGCTTGTCAGCGTCGGCGCCTTGTTCGAGAAGGTACCTGACAATCTCGGCATTGTCCTCGCAGACCGCCACGTGGAGCGCTGTGCTGCCGTTGCTGGTCTTGGCCGCTGTGATGTCGCCTCCATGGCGGGCGATCTCCTTGAGCAGGTCGAGGTTGTTCTCCTCGGCTGCAGTGCACGCGAAGTGGCCGACATCTCCTGACTGTATGGTGGCGCCGTTTTCTTGAAGCAGCTTCACTACTCCGGAGTGGCCGGCTTTGATGGCCTCCCATAGTGGCACGTTGCCATCCGAGTCTGCAACAAGGTCAACTTTCTGACATCAGGATGCTTAAAGAAACTCCATGATTGAATCTACTCTGTCTTTTTATAATTAGTTTGATTTAGATCACTCAAAAAGTCGACTAATTTCTGTGTAGGTGGTCCAAACGTGTATATGAAGTCAACTAACTTCTGTGCGATCTACACTTGTTTTTCGAATTATTGTATATTATACCCAGATCTCAGTCAATGCTATTACTAATTCAAGTAGTTGGTTGTTAACTTGTTATAGATCTAAAATGTAGATAAGGTATAATAACAAAAAAGGGCTAGATGAATAGTGGTCAATGAAACTACAAAAATGGCAAGAAATCTTGACTTGCCTCGGCAGTTGGGATCAGCACCATAATCCAGCAGAAGAAGCACACAGTTCTCACTTCCTTTCGACGCTGCGATGTGCTGAGATTTTAGAAAGGATGTCAGAATGGACTTTACTCTTTCGGGCATTACTTGGAGAAGGGACAGGGGGGGAAAGGTGGAAGCTTTACCAGAGCTGCTCTGTTGTTGTTGTCAGATTCATTTGCATCTAAACCACGTTTGAGTAGCTGGTGTAACAAGAGATCATCTCCTCTCAGTGCAGCAAAGCATAGGCTGAGAGGAATGTCCATTCTTCCATGAGCCAGCATGTTCTCTGTCTCGAGCAGAACTCCCTCCATTATTGGATCCTTGAGATCTTTCAAATGCTGAGCCCATCATGAAAACATCAGAATCCAGCAGTAAAATTTACTACCCAATGTTAAATTCTTGAGGCAAGCAATGATTCATGTAGTAAGGTTAAAAATTCAACTCACTAACCTGAAGAAGATTGTTCATTATGATTGTCCCATCTCCAACATTGGCTTGAACGATATTCAAGAATGTAGTTCTGTTCATTCGAAGCAGCTGACACAATCTTTTCGTCCTCACGGTAAACAGCTGTGGTTTGTAACATAGCACTCCAATCTCACCACAAAGATCACCAGTCTTAAGCTCCCCAACCACCTGCAAGGAGTTCAGTGTAAAGATTTCAGCACAAAGCTTAATCAGCAAAGTTAAGGAGTACTGCAATCAAGCATTTCTAAGGTGCAGGGCTTGCCTGTTCCACTCCATTCTTGAGAACAAGTAGATCCTACGAAGTAAAAGGGAAATGTCAGCAGCAGCAGACTAAATAGATAAATGCAATCCTAACTCAAATATGCACAAATATGTGAAATCTAGAAACTTTACCACGGCACCAGTTACGAGTATATAGAAATCAGTTGGTGCTTCATTCTGCAAAATCACATCTTCTTTGGGAGGGAAATACTCAGCTTTCATCTCTGACACCTTTTGAGAGTAATGGTCCATTTTTTCAGTAAACAAACGCCAGATATACAGAAGATTATTGAGAACGCAAAGGGTAAATGGCTCTCTATAAACGACTTACCAACTGAAAAAGCAAGTCATTTGAAACCCCGCGAAACAGATAGACTTTGTCAACTAGAGAGTAGAACAGGTAATGTGAAATGCTTGACCGAATGGCTTTCGGAAGAGAATCGAGAGTCTCCTGCTGCTGCAGTCCCTCTGAATCCGTTCTGAATTTCAAACACAAATGTGCAAGCATTTGATCTTGTAGCCTCACTGGTAACTGGTTCCTATGAGCAAAACTTGAAGCAGCTTGTATGGTATCCCTCTGAAATATTTGTATTGTCACTAAAAGGTTCTGAAAGACACATGAATACAGTAAATGTCTACTGAAATATAGAAAAGTAAGAGATCGCTCACAAATCTTCTGGTTCGACTGGTACCATGAACAACCAAGTTGGTCATGTTACCGATCAAGTACGCAGTCAATCCAAGGTTGAAGAGCATGTAGAAGATGTCAAATATCATCTCTCTTGTATTGACAGGATGCAGATCGCCATAGCCAACTGTTGTGAGAGTAGTAATAGACCAGTACATTGAAGTAACATATCGAATCCATAGTCCCCTTTCCAGAAAGTTATTCCCAAGAGATGCTCCAATCCATGTTCTTTCTGGGTTGTGGTAGCGAGCAGCAATAAGATAATAGAAGCATCCAGCACAATGCACAGCAAAAAGGGTGACCTGTGCATTACCAAAAGAAAATAAAATGGGTGACTTTCATCAACCATTCACATCCTAGTCAGAACCAGAATTTGCAAAACTCAAACATTTCTTCAATACTTACACAAATGAGCTTGGCACATCGAACCCAGAAGTAGTTGTAGTTCCTATCTTTCTCCAATCTGATCAAAGTATTAAACATTTAAGGCTTCTTGCAGAGGTCAAAGAACACGTAACCAATTAGACTCAGCAGAGGGGAAGAAGGCTTCTCTCTTACCTGGAAAAGAGGGAACTAACTCTTCTAAGACGCCATAGACGGAGCATGTTAAACAAGCCATATGACCTGAATGGCTTAGGGGATAGTTTCCAAGCGAGTTCAGATGGGATGATGGAAATGACATCAAGGGCCAACCATGTCCTGGCGTACTTCCAAGCAATCTGTCTTCGGTTGTCCACTAGAAGGTAAGTTGATTTGTCGAGGTAAGCCACAAAGAAGGTGAGAATGATATCCACAGCAAAGAATCCATTCACAATGTTATCGGTAATTGAGAGTGGCCCTTCTGGTTTTCTGAGAAACCCGAACTCGAAAGGTGATACCCAAGCTGTGTAAATGACCAAGACAATGAGGAATGTCTCCCATATCCTGCAAGATTCAAATCATTCCTCAAGTTAGCAGCTCAACTCTGCCAAAAAGAACACAGGCAAGTTGAAAGCAGATTCTAAATTGGTTGGTAGAATGTTTATGATGCAAGTGAAAAGTCAAAGCAGATTACCCCCACTATAATCTGGAAGACAATATAGTTCAAACTTCAAAGTTCAGCCCAGTCAAAAAACACATGCAAGAGGTTTAGGAATTTCAACTGTAATTTCGAAAAAGGACAAATCTTTTACCAGATCGTTGAAACCCAAGCAAAAACAGAATCTAGGGACTGATAGAGGAATTGTATTCTTCGGCAGCTTCTAAGCAAAGAGGATAAAAACAGCTAGCTTACAATAAAATGGGCAAAAATGTCCCTCACTTTTGCACAGGATTCAGAAAAGATAAAAGCATGGGATCCATCAAAGGAATGGGGGGAAACTTGCTTAGCAAAAAGAAAATACAACTATAAAATAAGGAACCCAAAACTTGCTTAGGAAGCAGTACAAGGATAAACAAAGCAGATATACCACTGAACACAAAGAAAATTGACTACGATGGAGACGAGGCAACAGAACAGAGAAAACTTAGCCCGAAGAAAGAACCAAAGGGAAAAAGCCAGCTACAATCAGAAGAGACAAAAAGGGATCACAGCAAAAAAAGGTGGAAATCGCAAAAACAGCCCAAGTTGGCACAAACAGACAGAAGATGAGTCATTGGAGTTTGGAGAGGAAAAAAGGCTAAACTCCAAAGATCAATAAACAAATCTAGGCTCAGTCGCTGACCCAATTTCAATCCAACTGCGAGCAACGTGGCTCACGGCACATTGCTGCCATTTGCCACAGATCAAAGACAACAACCAGTAACCTGAACGAACCGACAATGGCGGCCCGAGTCAAAAAAGAAGCCAAAATGAACACAACCAAGTCGCCAACAGTAGCAAAGCCTGAAACTTCACCTCACCAAAGAACAAACCCAGAAAGCACAACACCAGTAAAGTCAAAGAAACGGCAGGAAAGTAGAAGCAGGGAGCTACCTGTAACGACGATCATAAGGCGAGATAATGAAATTCTTGAGCCTGACCCTCCGGTTACTCCTGGCGCCGAGAGATGGAAGTATCCCAGTCGAGAGGCTGTAATGGCTGCCATCTCTTGATATGTGCTCCAGCTCATCCTGCCCACAAACCGAGACGTTGAACATCCTTCTCCCCAGCAAACCGTCCATCTTCTTCTTCTCTTCTCTTCCCTTTCTCCGAATTCTCCCCACCTTCGTACACACAACCCAATATATCGCAGATGGCCTCGCGCCCTCTTGTCACGGTTTCAGTTGTTACCTGTATTGACCTTCATAAAAGTGGCCTCAGACTCTCAGTAGTCAGTACCACCCACCCACCATCCCACCAAAACGCTTCACTTTTTCATTGGGGGTTCAAATTTTTTAACTGAGGCATTTTAACAAACACTTTCCTCGCATAACTCCCGCCTGCGGAAACCAGCCGATTTAAATCGCCAGAATTGAAAGCGGAGAAAACCCAACTAGCTCTGTCGCCTTGGCAGCTGAACAGAAACACAGACTGACGGTTTCAGACCTGCTCCGATCAGCTCTGTGTCAAAAGCTCTTATGATTACTGGAGAGAAAGGGCCGAAAACGAAAAAAAAGAACTGGAAAAGAAAAAAGGTGGAGGCTTTTCAGCTTTGTGGCGGGGCGGCGGGAGAGACGAGAGAGATCTAGGTACTTGGCGACTCGTTGAGTCGGGTGGCTGTGTCCTTGTAGGAAGAGGGGAGAACTCGTTCTTCAGGATTTCGGATTTCCCGGGTATTTGTATACGGCCGCCGCTTGGCTTTCACCGCATTGGAAAGGCGCGTGGAAGCTGATCGAAGGTTTTTTTTTTTTTTTGGTTTCGTTTCCTTTTTATGTTCCTACGTGTCGGCGATGATAGAACGGGGAAGTTGGCATGTAATAGTCTGGGGATTTAAAAAAAAAACGGAATTTGTGGTAACTATTTTTGTGATTTTATAGGAATAAATCTTTTCAATCTTACAATCGAATCGATGGATCATAAAAAAATTCAAATATTTGGAAAACGAATAGTTAATAGTTATATTTTACTCCTAAGTTTTAAAATAATTTCATTGATGTTACAATCACGAATCGATATAGTCTTAGTATTATAGAAATCATTCTATTAAAAAAAAAGTACATCCAAATCATATTTATATTGTATTCATGAAAATGAACTTGTATTGTCACTTACTATTACATATGTTGACATAATGAAATATTATACAAATTTTTCGCACATCTGATTGACATATGTGTTATATCACTATTGTCCTTAATTTGCGATGATTCGACCTTATCATTATGAACCTTTCTTTCTTTCTTTTCGATTTTATGTAAAATTACAACTTTGATCACACTAGTAGGAGATGTTGGAGTAAGCACAAGATATTGCAAACTATACCTATATTTCACTCAAAAGTATGAAGTAGGCCAAGTTTTGGATTATGGGAGGGTAGGCCTATGCCAATCGTAGTACTTGGACTATATGGTTTTGAAATCAATTCAAATAGGGGGATTCGGTGATTCATTGGCACAATATCATTACGAGGACTTCTATCATTCCGAGATTCGGTATCATTTTGAGGGACTTTTGTTGTTCTAAATCGACTTACCAACTCGACATGCAAACTGTTTTAATTGAGCAAGACAATTTCAGCTAACTATAGTGTGTGCTTTGCGCAACGACATAAGGTCTTGCTCCCCACACCTATTTTTGAATTTGACTGATCCCTTCAAGCTCTCTCTCTATTGCTTTCCAATGCAGTTGATTCGTACAGAGAGGAGAGTATTCTTGTTTATTCTTCATCTGATAATACTGATCACTACTATAGTCACCGGAAAAGAACATGTAATCGAGCGAAATGGACTTACCTCAATGATGCGTTACGTTATTTTGTCAATAAAGGAAACAAGACAGTATTATTATCGAGTTTTTGTTTGCATGTCGACATTTCTTTCCCTAATTGTATCAAGGTTTTTAATTAAGTCATTGTTTTGGGTATGCTTGATCGATAAGACTTTAGTTATCAAGAAAAATTGCACATTGAGATAAAAAGACGGATTCTTTAATGAGAAAGTATATCTTGTCATCTTGTATTCAAGATCGATCCATCTATCACTTAGTTGTTGATTCAAATTTAACCGATCCACAAACAAAATCCCTACTATTGTCTAACCTATCCAACAATACCATAAAATAGTGATGGCAATTTCAACCCGCCACCGCGGGTATTACCCGACCTGACCCGCGATGGGGCGTGTATTACCCGACCCGCAGTAGCGTGAGGGGGGCATGGGTATCTACTTCTGCCCCGCCCCGCCCCGTTCTAGACTCATTTTATCTCAATTTCTTACAATATCTATACATATTTCTTCTATTTTGACTTTTCTTCAACTAGTTAGAGTCGATCTTTCAACTTGTTAGGCTCAATTATCCATTCTATTATCAATATTTTTTCATTCTTAAAGTATTTTTCCTACGTTTTATTGTAAAAAGTAAAATTTACTTGTATTTTTTTTGAACAACATGTAAGAGTGGGTCGACCCGCCCCGCCCCGTACCCGCGCGAGTTTTACCCGCCCCGACCCGTAGTAGCGTGGGGCGGGACATGAGAATTGAGGTACCCGCCCCGCCCCGCCCCATTGCCATCACTACCATAAAATGCTTATCTACTATGACATGAGTGATCATATGAATAACCCAACACCCAATTACCACAACAGTTGACTTTGGAGGGTTTCATAATTATATTAATTTCATGTTCCACGTCCCCAGTTTAATTAATTTGACTTTTGCTATTTATAGCTATTATTGTGCTTTTTTTTTGTTTTTTTAATTACAGAAAGTCAGAATTTAATCGACCAATTTTCAAAGGTCATGGGAGCTATATGCCTCCAATGGGTTGCTAGAATGCTTCAAATGTACAACTTGCCCACAGCATTATCCCAAGAGCCAATAGTACATTAGTTTCTTCAATTATACTTGTTAATTTCTCCAAGAGGAAATTTTGCCAAATTTAATAATTGATTATCCAAGCTTTCACCAGATCATGTGATGTGGTATCTCTTTGTATCATAATATAAAATAAATTACTCATATCAATAAAACAATTCAATAATTGGACTATAAGTCTCCTAATCATGCATTGATATCCATATATTTTCTTCTTATAAGTTATAGGTGATAGTGTAGTTAGTATACTATAATAGGGATGAAACATAAAATAAAAAATAAAAAATTGGTGAAAAACATCAATTGTTTTTAGTGTATAATAGAACTAAATGATTACTGTTAGTTTCCTAGTTGTTTTGACTAAAACTAACTAGGAATGTATTTCAAACAGGGGCATTCCGAGAATTGAACTCGGGACCTCTCGCACCCTAAGCGAGAATCATACCACTAGACCAAATGCCCTGTGTTGATGAAACATCAACCAATGAAGATACGACTAGATCGAATTTCAAACTCGAGAACTTTGTACGAGAAGCCAATCACCTTATCATTCAACGAGGAAAGATAATCGACAAGCATTCATAATAATCTTTATCTAACTAATTGATTAAGTTGTGACAACATTTATATATTCACCATTATCATGTATTTTTTTTTTTTTACTCTTTTTTTTTCATAGACATATCTCTCAAAACCTACACTAAAGGGAAGGAGAAAACTAAAGAGTTCACGGAAACTCCAACCTAACACTTCGAGTTAGAAGTTAGAACCATGATATCGCTAGATAACAAGCTTGTTGGTACATGAATACATTCGATTGTACGAGGCTTGTAAATTGATTACTACATAGATAAGATCGATAACTACATTTCACACAAGTGAACGAACGAAACGAACCTATATAATTTACGAGAACTTTAACTTAATTTACATTTTTAAAAAGTTACGACACAATCTTAAAATCGCCTAGGTTCAGAAACCCTTGTATAAGTTTATACACCCGTTGTTTGTCAGGGGTTGAAACATACATAGGGGAAATAATTTAGCTTTATCCTAAAGCAAGAAGATTCAAGAAACAAGTATAGATTTAGAAAGTGGGGTTAGTGTATATAATTACGATAGTTGTGTGCAAATACACAACCGACCAATGAGAGAGTCAACATTACTATATAGTTTGAGATATAATAAATTGTTTTACAAGGTAAATTATGGCCGTGGGCATTCCCGATCAGGAATTACAAAGTATGATATACATTGAATAATGAGCACCGCCGGCCGCCGGCCACCGTCCATCGGCAGAATAGGATAATCCATCAAATGGAAACTAGGGAATTTGGACAATTAAATTAGTAATGTTCAATACTCAATAGTCAATACCTTTCAGTTTAGGGGTAACATAGCTTTCTCTTTTGAGATACGAGTACAAAAGAGAAAAGACACTCAATAGTAATCACTTTTAAAACTTGGCGGCGTTGCTTACCTTCTGTAGTAAATAAAAGGGATAAATTCCACGTTTGGTCACTAGGACTACTAAAAAGTGTCATGTTGAACCACTAGAAATATTTAATATCAATTTTGATCACTCGAATTATTCAAGCACTCCATGTTTGGTCACTCGAATTATTCAAACCGTCCATGTTTGGTCACTCCTAGTTACCTTCCGTTATTAGCGTTAGTTTTTTTTTATGACGTGGCAAACATAAAAGTCCACCAAAACCGAATTTGTGAGACTACTTGTATCTTCTCCTTTTTAGATGATTTTTTACCCCTAATGTAAACAGTAAATATGCAATTATATGCATCATCAATGATAAAATCAAACATTTCAACACATAAAGTCATAAACACACTAACATGATTCAAATTTTTAAGTCTCAAAACAAGTACAAACATAAAAATCCACCATTTAGAGCTTTGTAATTATAGTAATTCAGTTTTTCGGTCGAAAATTCGGAATTTCGATTCGGTTGAAAGAACCCTGGTTTCCGAAATATTCATATTTCCCTTTCGAATTTCGAACCGAATAACACGAATTCGATATTTCAGTTCGGTTTAATTCGATTTCAGTTCGGGGCGGTTCGAATTCACCGAACCGGTTGCCCACCCCTAACCCCAACTCCATCAATGTAGAGAGAGGCAAGTTGGGCTAGAAACCCCCCTTCTTCCCCTGCCTCTTCCCCTGAATCTCACCATGCACGTTGAAAAAGGAAGTAACTTTTCAATGGTTAAGCTCTCGCCGCATAATCAAAGGCATGAAGGCCGCTTACTTACCGTCCAAATGTTAGGGCGTGTGACATTATGAAAGGACGACGAAAAGGGTTTGGTCACTATATCCGTCGTGAATATTCTCAAAAGATCCCAACCACGTTGCTTTCTTCGGTTTCTAAATAGCGCTTCCAGTTCCAAGCAAGTAAATTTGGACTTGTAAAAGACTATTGTGTCTTCATGTGTCTCCCACCAAACCTTTTGATCCCTTTGCATCCCCATCTTCATTTTTCATGCATATATGATATAACATGCATGGCTAGCCCCATATCTTGATTAGGGTTCGTGTTGGTTGAGTTTGTGACGGTATGAAGATTCGAATTCGACTCGCTTACGTTATCACGCATACACTCGAGTGGGTAGCATTTTATGTCAAAGTATATACATGTACATAAGTCCGTCGTGCGCGCGACCATACTAGCTCAAAATGGGAGGAAGCTAAGATATCTGAGTACTCTATCCCGACCCAACTTGTATGTCTAGTACTCGAGACTCAAAAAATAAGAACCCACAGACACGCGATCTTTTGTATCTAGTGGCGGATCCATGGAGCTCTAGGGACACCCCTAAAATTTGGGAGCACGATTATTCAACCCCCGATAGTAGTTTGTATATAGGTAAAAATCATATGTAAGTGGTAGCGGGACACTCCTAAAATTTGGAAAAACGATTATAATCCCCCAATTGTAGTTTGTGTATGGGTAAATATAAACATTTAAGTGGTTGCCTATGTTATTTGAACTTAGGTCGCTGCTACTATTAGTAAACATATTTTTCTTCATAACTTCAACAAATATGTTAACATTCACACGAATTCTCACATTATGTAAGAGAAAAAGTACGGCAATATTTCACTAGAATGAAAAAAATTAACTAAAACAACACAATTTCATGAAAATATTATACTTATATGCTAAAGACAAAATATGTTAGAGAAAAATAATGATTATATCTAGAGAAAATACATATGCATTTGTATAATCGGGCGGGTTCGGATTGGATAGTGAGAAATCCATGCCCACCCATTACCCACAATATACGGGTTCGGGTTTTACCCATACCCACTAAATGTCTTTCGGGTTCGAGTTTTACCCTACACGATTAAGCCGAATTCGGGCGGATATCCACGGTTACGAATAGTTTTGCCATCCCTAGTTTTGGGACCTGGGCCAAGCTAGCTTGCCAAAACATTAACCTCTGGAGGGTTATTAATGAATAAGGCTAAAAAGCCTTTCCATAATGGACTCGAGCCACTTGAGAAATTGGGGTGGCAGCTTTCTAGTCCAGCCCAATGGTTGAGAGCCCATGCTAGGAATAATGGATCACGAGGCCGGGGAACTAAAACACATCTCCCGAGTCACGAGTCACGAGACACCTCCGAGTCAGTCCAAATCCCGACCCATTTGACAAGCCACCGGAATAGCCGGTAATAAAGAAAGAAGCGTTACTGCGTTAGATGCCCTCCTCGCCCCCGCTCCTTTCTCTGCCACCTCCACGTGTCCTATCTTATCCATTCATCCCGTTTCCCTTTCGCTTTTCTCTTTCCCCCTTTTCCTTCAAATACCGCCCGCCCCACCTCCTTCCTTTTCCAACTGTCATAACAACAAAAAAAGCTCCCCACACGCCATTGTCGCCCAAAAAAAACCTTCCTTCCTAATCTCCGACCTTGAGAATCTCGAAAACTCCAAACCAACAAAAAAAAAAAAAAATGGCCAGCAATCTCCTACCCCTCCGCCCCGCCGTCGTCTACGCCTCATCCAACCCGGACCTCAACAACCGCCGGAGGCAGCTTCCCCCATCCTCCTCCGCCTCCTCGCCGAAATGGTGGTCCCCGCTCTTCGGCTGGTCCTCCGAGCCGGACTACGTCGGGACGACGCCACCGAGCCAGCCGGCGGCCGATCAGGACGAGAATCGGCCGGATCTGGATGCGAAGCAGGCCAGATCTCGATTCTCCCCGGGCTGCTTCACCGCCGAGAAGGCCAAGCAGCTCCGGATGCTGACCTCGGGGACGTCGGCGCACCACGACGCGATGTACCACTCCGCCATCGCCTCCCGCCTCGCCTCCGACTTCAACAACAAGAACAGCACCAGCTCCTCCTAGCCTCCGCCTCGCTTTGTCCCTCTCGTGTAATGTAATCTCGATCGTTTCCTAGATCCGTTCCCCCTTTTTTTCCCCTTAGATTTGTAAAATAGTGTTTTTTTTTTCGAGTTTGCGCTGTGTCATTGGCCGTCTCCGTCGTCGGCCAGTCAGTCCGTCTCTCCGTCCATGAATTTTAGCTTGGAGGCAGAAAAAAAAGCGTGGGATGATTCCGGTGACTTCTTCTTCTTCTTCTTCTTCTAGGGATCAATGTTTGTTCAATTAGTTCCTTGTTGTAACAGAAGAATTAACTAGCTTCATCCTGTAAAGTAGTGGTTGCAAAAAACAAGATTAGTGTCAGTAATCATGTTTATGCTTTGCAATCGTTTCCCGGCGATCTGAGCTCCGCCATGGAAACGGTTGGGGGTTGGAGCTCTGAATGTAGCACTTTGTAGCTGGATCGAATAATTCAGCGTTTTTTATTAGCTTAATCGTGGATTTATCATATTAAGCAAAATGCTAAATGCATATTTAATGCATAATAAAGATAATTAAGTCGCCCGAGGTAATTGGATTGATGGATTCTGGTATTTTGCCTAAGAATATGCTTTTTTTTTATATCAGATTTTTTGTTAAACCGAAATCGGATTAATAAACAACAATTTTTTTTTCCGGCTTATTTATTTATTTATTGAACTACTAGTTGAACGGTAGATCGTGTATTCGATTCCCACCTCGTTCAATTGGCTACATTCGAACGAGTTTTCGGTAACAGAAATCGCGAGAAGGAAAAATGAAACCAAGGCGATAGACCAACTACGACGCAGTTTCGTAATTCGTTTACGAAGTTTCGAGGATGTCAAAGGGCGAATCAGGACAAACAAATGTTTGATTTTCGAGGATGTCAAATGGCTAATCAGGGCAAACAAATGTTTGATTGTGAAGAATTGACAGAAGAAAAAAAAAAAGCACGGTTTTCTCATGAGCAAGACGTGTATGTGTAAAAAAAAAAAGTGCAGAAAGTTACAAATGGTGGTGGTGGTTCTAGGCTCAGCCAGAAGTGGTGGCGCCATGTTCACCGTCCAATTGCACGCTTTTGCGGGTTTCTTCCGACTTGAGAGAAACACATGAAACGAGTTCCATTCAGGGTTGGAAAATATTGTCACGGCCTGCAGATTTCCTTGATGCAGACAGACAGTAGAAATAGAGTCAAGTCATGATGCTGGAAACAATATTTGCATCTCTGGTACTATTTTCAACTGGCATCGACTTAACAACTCGGAATTCATCGACACGCTAAAACTATTCGAATAGCAAAATAACAAGAATACAACAGTATCAACTCAACAAATCAAATCTTGGTGTGTCAAAAAAAAAAAAAAAAAGGCAAGAAAATTAGGATCCGGGATCCTGCATGCTGTCTTCGAAACTTCATTTGCTCTCGGCGTCGTATAAATCAGTCCTGGAAATTATGATTAAGGAATACTAACAGGAGACGAGAAGCAGGAGGGAGGAATGTTCTGTTTCATCAAGATAACTAGTACAGAATACAAGTAGCAGATCAAACATCATTCTAATGAGTTCCCTCTGCTTACTAGGATCAACTGTGGTTCAATTTAGGCTAGTCAGGAAGAAAAGAAGAAAAAAGAAGAGATTTTTCAATCTCAAAGGCAGCTGAGCAAGTATTGTGCACAAAATGACGCGACGAATGAAAATTTTGAAGACTAGTGAAGGGCTAGAGCCTAGAACCCAAGCAGTCTTATAAGACTTGGTTTCATGAGTCTATTCACTAAATTGTTTCCCCTTTGCTTGTGAAAGATCTCATCCCCTGCACTGTGGTAATTAGCTTGCTATAATAGCCCCCGCTTGTTATTTCCAGGGAAATAGAGGAAATAACCCGCTTTCAGTGTATCTCGTCACCGGTTCTAGTGCCCGAGCAAGAAGCTCCAAGCTTGGAATGGCAAACAATCAAGGGGGGGAAATGCTGACGGTGGATTTTGGAAGCAGTAACTTCAAGAGGATTATGATTTGCTACGGAAACACAAGGTAGCAACTGGAAGAGGATGCCACATAGAAGAACTAACCAACCTAGAGACACCAGGAGATCCTAATTCATCCATCATAAAAATACCAGAGATCCTAAAACTAAGAAGCCTCAGCCTGTTCATCTAAAGGCTAAATGCACTGCGTGGGCAAGAGAATCAAATCGACAAGAAACCAAGTCGCATTGTACGGTATAATCTAGTCTTTCTAATTTCTACAAGTGCACTTCCACTAAGGACATGCAGACGATTGCATGGAACGGTGCTTTCTGTACTCAAACTCCAAGCAAGTACTCCAGAATGATGGAGAAGAGATAAGAACAACACTAAAAAGAGAAATATTTTGATAATTTCTCCCCAATAAGAAATGGGAAAGAGACCAAGATGTAAACAGATTAACGAGCTACGCCTAATAGCAAACATTACCAGTTACACCTATATACACACAGAGATAGTTTGTTACCAACTATCTATCTATCCATCCATATACCGATGCTTTGCAGCACAGCCACGCTGTATTACAGAACTAGCTCGAACAGACATCTACGGTCAGAAATCTGTAAAACTGATGAACACCAAAGAGATGATAAGCTATGCGCCATCCTATTATCAGAAGACAAAATTTTAATGCCTAACAAACTAGATACACCTACGAAGAGAGTGCAAATGTTGAGCTATCATGCTTCCCAATTCACCCGAAAGGCGGAATATATGAGCAAATGAGAATGCAGCAACAAAACTTCTAAGCTACAATGGAATCAGAATCTACTTGTTTCCCCATTGCAAGATAGCCACTCTTTCAAAAAGAGTATGCAAGGTGCACATTGATTGATCATCGCAGGCGTATACCAACAAGCATGCCCACATAAAGAAAAGAAAACGAATCAATTGATAGGAGCAGGTGAATATCAACAGGGGAACCATAATTGACATGATACTTGAGAGGGAGGAGGAGAAAGGATACACCAAGTAACCACCATGGATAAAGGCACCCGCCAACACAGCAGTGAACAACCTGTCCCTCAAGACCGGATTCCTACGCAGCGACAGCCGAACTGATAAAAAAGAGACAACCTTCAAACACCCATCAACAGAATCGGGAAAAAGCTTCTAAATTTGAACGATAAATGACACGAGAATAGCTTACTCAATGGAAGAACTGGAGCGTAGATGAGCGGAACCAAGAACTTGAACGGAGCCTTCGGCTTCCTAGCAACAGCCGCCCTGCATCGGCGCCAAAACCAATCTCAGACGGAATTTCAATGTTTGAGCGCAAAAGGGTTGATTTGAAGACGAAGGAGAACTAACTGATTGCTCGGATCGGCCGCGGTGGACATATTTGATTACAACAGGTCGATCCGTCGGAAATTTGCTGCTGGAGAATGACGAAGAACAAAACTCCGACTAATCAAATTTCTTTCCTTTTACCTTTCCCAAATTGTGGACTTTGAGACTGCCTTACAGTGTTTAACGGGCTTCAGGGCTATTGGGCCCGTTGTGGGCCTTTGCTGTTCTCCTAACAAACGGTGTCGCTTTTTACGGGATTACAGAGGGATTTGAAAAAGGCTCACGAAGGCAACCGCGTAAGCGGAAAAACTCAAAACACATTTAATCGGACGGCTGTGGACGAGCCGAGTATATCCTATTTGAAAAAGTCATTTTCGGTAATCGAATCCAACGGCCCAGGTAGTTGCTTAATTTTAAAGCAGCGCTGCATCTTCAAGCTACGCTGCCGTGGTTCTGCCCTATATAAAATTTCATAGCTTCGCCGTCTTCATTCACTGGCTTCTCTCCCTCCTTTGCAAACCCTTGGTTCTCGAGGCTCTTCCCTCCCCCGCATCTCCGGCGAGAATGGTACGTCTCCGCTTTCCTTGTAGTCTCCGTTGTTTCCGATTTCCCTTCCGGTCGCGTCATTCCGAATTGGCTGCTTTGCTAGGGTTTTTTCGTGATTCGGTTTCGCTGATTCGGTTTTTGGTTTCCCCTGTTGTAGGCTCTGCCGAACCAGCAGCAAGTTGATTACCCGAGCTTCAAGCTCGTTATTGTTGGCGATGGAGGAACTGGTAAATTTTCCCTGTCAATGTTTTTTGCTCGTTGGTGTGAACTGTTGGTGTCTCGCGCTTTCATTACATGTGGATTGGTTCGTGTTTGGAGCGAAAGATTATTGTTTTCCGTAGATCTCCTCTGGTTTTGGAATGGTGGTATTGTTAAGGCTGATAGATCTTGCGATGGGGAAAAATTCTGGTGTTCATTGTAAGTAATATGAGTATTTGTGAGTGGTTGGTTGTATTGAAAAGATGTGTTCTGGGTGATGCAGGGAAAACTACATTCGTGAAGAGGCATCTGACTGGAGAGTTTGAGAAGAAATATGAGCGTGAGTGTTTGGTTCAACTGAGTTTTGATTGAATAATGTCTTACCTGTTTTGAGTTGGAGGGAAAGCTGAATCTCGTGTTGGTTTTGCAGCAACCATTGGTGTGGAAGTACATCCATTGGATTTCACCACAAACTGTGGGAAGATCAGGTTCTACTGCTGGGACACAGCTGGGCAAGAGAAATTTGGTGGGCTCAGAGATGGATACTAGTAAGTGTGGATCGCGTTGTGTATGCCTTGTGAAAAGTATTTGTTGTACTTAGTACGCCTGTCTCTCTTAGAAATTTCTTGAATATGGTTGTTGAACTGACGTATGTAAACTGATGGGCTGGCTTACTGGTTGCACTTTCAGTAGTGCCTTAGTAGTGTTTGCTAATCCATTGGTCGGCCCGTGCCATAGTTGATATGTTGTAGTTACCACTGTAGGGATTTTTCATACTCTATGGTTCTGTGTTCTCTTTGTCCTTACTCCTTAGTTATTTTGCTTACATCTTTATCTGTGATTTATTGTTCGGTCATGCTAGTATCAAGTTATAAAGCTGAGAGTTTTCTATTCTTAAGAGTGTAGTGAAGGATTTTTATCAGTGTTGCTTTTCATATCATTCTAATGTATACTGCAGTTTCAAACCATTGCTTGAACAGTGGATTAAGTATCCCTGTTACAATTCTCTGATGGTATGTATATTATTACTATGTGATACTCCTGTTGATTTCTTTGACTAACTTCTTGTATTCCAAAATGCAGCATACATGGTCAATGTGCCATTATCATGTTTGATGTTACAGCTAGATTAACCTACAAGAATGTTCCTACATGGCATCGTGATCTCTGCAGGTATGTGGCTTTGTCTATACGTCTTAATCTCTGCACTCTTTAGTCAGGCTTAATATTGTGCAACACGATTTGTTCCTAATCTCTACAAAGGCTGATGTTTTCTTATTACTTTGTTCCCAGGGTTTGTGAAAATATACCCATTGTCCTGTGCGGAAACAAGGTTGATGTGAAGAACAGACAGGTCAAGGCCAAGCAGGTTACTTTCCACAGGAAGAAGAACCTCCAGTACTATGAAATTTCTGCCAAGAGCAACTACAACTTCGAAAAGCCTTTCCTCTACCTGGCCCGCAAGCTTGCTGGGTAAGTTCAGTAGTGTTACTGCTTAGTTTTTATTATCTGTCACCAGTTTGATTAATAATAAGCTGATGCTCGATATTTTTATTGGTTTTAGGGATCCTAATCTTCACTTTGTGGAGGCTGTTGCCCTGCGGCCACCAGAAGTACAGATTGACATGGCTACTCAGCAACAGTAAGCCTTCTTATACTCGTTTCCTCTGCTCATAGTTAATAGATTTGTGTGGCAGAGTTCTAACAGATGTCTTTAATTTTAATGTTTCTGATGTCCAGGCATGAAGCTGAACTCGCCCAAGCTGCCAACCAACCTCTTCCCGACGACGATGATGATGCATTCGATTAAAGTGTTGCACCCCTCAAAGCTTGATCATCCCTCATGCTGGTTCTCGCTTGTGCCTGGGGTGCTGTGTCTTGGTCATCTCCTGAGTTTCTCTCTTTCATGATGGGATGTGCCCATTTGTATTTGCAGGTTCAACTATCCTGAGAACCTTTCTAAAAGACAACAACTAGTAGTAGAGTTCTGTTTGAGCAAGTGGTGCACTTTTTTTTCTGTGGTAGAGTGGAACTTGTGGTTTCGTATTTGTTGGTGTTGGGTTTGTGGTGATGTTTTGTTGGATATCTGAATTTTTGGAACTGGTATGATTGGAAAGACGGAGCAGAGTGTTTGCCATAATTTTCCTATTCGTTTCTCTCGAAGCATTGAATTTATTGTGATCAGATGCTCTGTATTCCGATCCTTTTGCGATTGTCAAGTAGATCGGCATCCTGCAAGTCACACATTCAAGAACGTTCTTACAAATCCGTAATGATCTTTCCTCAGAAATGCGTAATTGTGTAACTGATTCGGTATGATTGGAAAGACGGAGCAGAGTGTTTGCCATAATTTTTCTATTCGTTTCTCTCGAAGCATTGAATCTATTGTGATCAGATGCTCTGTATTCCGATCCTTTTGCGATTGTTAAGTAGATCGGCATCCTGCAAGTCACACATTCAAGAACGTTCTTACAAATCCGTAATGATCTTTCCTCATAAATGCGTAATTGTGTAACTGATTCGGTATGATTGGAAAGACGGAGCAGAGTGTTTGCCATAATTTTCCTATTCGTTTCTCTCGAAGCATTGAATCTATTGTGATCAGATGCTCTGTATTCCGATCCTTTTGCGATTGTCAAGTAGATCGGCATCCTGCAAGTCATACATTCAAGAACGTTCTTACAAATCCGCAATGATCTTTCCTCATAAATGCGTAATTGTGTAACTGATTCGAACCCTAACTTTGCAGCGCAATTCGAAGAAGCTTGAACAAACAATGTTCCCATGGAGTAAGACTGTCGACGGGCAAAACAGATCCCGTTACTTAGTGGGCCTGGGCCTGCTTACACTGACCGAAACTGGACCCAGTCGTTCGCTGAACGTCTGACAGACTTCTTATCTTTTTCCTCAATGGATATGGGCCTGGTTGGTCTTGTGGTCCTTTCTTTGGCGGCTCCACAGCCACAATCAGGGAAGCCCTAAAACTACAACATGCACAAAACAAAACAGATTGGTAATTCAGCGGTATCATAACCACGACACAGTTAAGTGATCTCGTATTAGAGTTTTGAGCAAGGTTGTGTCGAATCGGATTAAGCCACCAAGTCGGTTTGACAAATGGGTTTAGGTTTAATTGTTGGATCGGGTCCAACCAATTCAATCGACTTTAGCATAATGTGTGAGGAAACCTCTGATATCAAATACAATTATGCATATATTTGAGAGAACAAACTCACTAATCTACATTCATATATTTGACATCATCAACATTTTCAAACCCGGTTTTGACTAACCAGATCACCCGATTCTAACTAGTTTAAGCCGACTTTGACTTTTTCATAGAACCGTCCAACCGAAAGTGTCTTCCAACCGTTTATACGATCGATCTCGGCCGGACCCGATCGAACCGGCGGACCGGATACAGATTTGACAACCTTATTGTCTTGGAGCACCGACGGTTCTGTATAAAGATCTAAAACATACAATGGCGTTTCCTCTCCCTCCAAATCTGGACATTCATGACATGTGAAGCCCCATATGAAACAACCTAAAGTACCCATTCAAAAAAGGGACAGCACAGAAACACAAACAGAGAAACAGAGGGTGGAATTAGTGATCTCCAATTCTCCACCACCACCCAACTTAATTGCCCTGCCTGTGTCTCAGGAACCGGATATACTTAGCTAGCCCCCATTTCTTCTTCTTCTTCTTCGATCACTTCCTCCCCATCTGTCCCTTTCCATGTCGCAACCCTACTGCCAGTTTTTTTCACTGACAAGGCTGGAGGCAAAAAAAAACAGAGCAATGGCCAGCATGTTGTGGACATTGTGGTTGGGGCTTTTGATCTGTTGTAGGACACTGTCCCCTGAGTTGTTCTGGTGGTAAATAAATTGTCCCTCTAGATTACAGAGGTGGAAGGATCATAAATCGGAAATTGTATCTGAAAAGTTAATGGTAGATGATGAGTGGCGGAGGGAGGTGGAGAGGAGTACCGTCCCTAGGACTCCATTTGACAACAAAACCCTTTAAATACACAGAGCATTAGATAGAATGCAAGTTTAGGATCCCATACTCTCGTCGATGTTAGCTCATCTGAGGATCCCAATAAACTCAAAGCTGGTTATAGTGTTATTGTATTTTAAGGACCCCAACGTTCTAAGAAATCTGGCCTACGCTGACTGTATATGATATTTTGACCTTAAATCGTGGTTCCAACTTTATCAAACCTAAAAAAATTGCCTCTCGACTTCAACTCCGATTGATAATACGATTTCGCAAACACTACTTAAAGTGGGAAGTACCCCCCTTTCTAAGAAAAGCCCCCCACAAAGTGAAGTGGGTCGTGGATGGTCGGAGGGAATTGGGTCCTTCTTAATTTGGGCTTTCAAGTGTGGGGGAGTGAGGTGGGTAGGGCT